ATTTTTCAAAACCGATTGAAGACCTCCTTGAAACATTTTGTCTAATTGGCTACGTAAATCGCCTAATGGAGAAGAACATTGCTGTATTAATTGCTTCTGGTCTGTTGAACAATCTTGACCAGAAAAGACGGCGACTAGAAGGGAAAAGAGAAAATAAATTAGTATATTTATAATTGGATTTAATAAACACAAATAATTTTTATTTTAAGGAAACACAATTTTCTGGGCAGTATTAGTAATATAATACAATTTAAAAAAAATTCAGAAAAATTTAGGAACATTATTTTTAAGGTACTTACGTTCCCCTCCTTTAGACCCATCCAACGAACAATTTGGATCTAAAGCCTTTGCAAACCGTCCAACATATTCTCGTTCAAATTGGCCAGCTTCAAATCCACATTTTGATTCTAAAAATAAATTTTAAAACTCTCTTTCGTCCAATCTCACCAATTGGGGGAAGAGCACATTCAAGTAAATGTTTGGCGGAAGTACAAGCTTCGCGTGGAGAAGCACGAGAAAATGAGAGAACACATTCGTGAAGTTCGGGACGAGCAGTTGAACGTCTGAGGCATTGGCGAAGCTTTAAAGTGTTTTAAAAACAATTATAATTGTTTAATATAAATAATTGGGGTTAATTAATTGATAAAATACTGAGAAAAATAAATTTGTATTTTTCCGAAGTTCTGATTACTCTATAACTAGAAAATATTCAGTATTTTCTGAAATTTTCCGGATCCAGTTAGACAAAAACAAGAATTGAGTAGTCCAAATAAGTTAGACAAAATCTCTGTCTCCTTTTTATAAAAATTTAACAAAATTTACATCAATAAATCTCTGATTTCCTTCTCCACAAGCAAATCCAAACATTGCCGCCAATCCACGGGCCCATAGAGGAATACAATTGGGTGCTAAACCTTCACAACATTTTGTAAAATTATTAAAAGAAAGACAAGCATCTTCAATTTGTCGAGGATTTTTAATTACTGACAGAGGGTGCTTCAAAAATTTTTTTGAAATTTTTTTCTAATTTTAAAAATTTTACCGGTTGAAAAGCACTTAAAGGTTGGACACAAAATTGGAATTGTTGTTGTTGTTCTGGAGAACATTCATTTTCTGAATTAATTTCCTCATTTTCTTTAGGCATTGGACGTGCCATTGGAGCACCAGAATTTTGGGGAGGTAATGAATTTATTGGTGGTGGTTTATTTGTGGAAGAAGAAATTGTTGGTGTATATCTCAAAAATGAATCAAAATTGGATGGAGGTTGGTTAGGGCAACCTTCTTCTTGGCCAATTAAATTTATCTATAAAATTTTTTTGTTAAATTTATTGAAGAATGAAGGGTTTATTAAATTGGAGAGAGTTAAAAGTTCTGAATGGTTAAATATTATATACCCTAAATGCTCTAATATAAGTCCTGGGCTTATATTTTTCAATAGACTTCCTTGGGTGGGTTTATATTAGAGCCGGTCTTCTATTAGAGATGGGCTTCTATTAGAGCATTTGGGTTTCTATTGGAGATGGGCTAATCCAGAAAACAGAAGGTTGTCCGCAAATATTATCCGCGATAGACTTTTATTGACGGAAATAATTTACAGACAAAATTTTGTAGCAAAACCCCATGATAATCCAACTAGATCCCTCCAAACAAACTCTTTAATAAAGAAACTAGCCTTATCTAATAAAGAATTAAATTCATTAATTAAAGTTTCATTTTTAAGGCAAAATTCACTCATCGAATTTTTGGCACAATTAAAAGCTTCACGTAGAGAATAAAAAGCTTTACATAAATGTGCTGATCCATTAGGTATTCCTTGGAGAACAGCACTTGAAAATAATTTTAATTGAAATTTTAAATCAGATTTGAGGTTTTCTCGGGTTAAAAAATATTTTAATTAAAAATATATTTACCCAATCGAAAACCCAAGTATTTGTAAATTCTTTTGACATGAAGAAGATGAATTGGAAAAATTTAGACAGGAAGAAACAGAATTAGTTAACACGTAAGTATTGTCACAAATAGGTTCTAGTCCAATTCTGAAATGTTTAAAAAAGAAATTGTTCAAATAAAAATCCTTCCCCCCCCCACCTTGCCAAAGCATTCATAGGCGAATTCAAAGCACATCTAGAATTCCAAATATTTGGGAAAACTCTGTCTTTAAGGCATTTTTGGTATTGCTCGAATAAAGAACAGACATTTAATAAAGTTGTTTGGTTAGAAAAAAGAGCTCCCAGAGAAGATAATTTTTGTAAACGAGAGGGAAGGCCTGACAATTCTGATAGACAAAGAAGAGCATTTTCCTTTAAAAAATTTGTTAAAAAATTTATTTATTTAATTTTGCCAAACTTCTTGTTCTTCACTACATTGGCCATTTAATGGGTGTAGAATAAATTTATTTGTTTCTGTTGATTTTTCTGAACCCTCTTCTTTTTGTTGAAAACATTGTTGGGAGATTGCCTCATCGTTTAGTTGCTCCTATAATTTTTAGAAGTTTGTGTTATTTAATGAAAAAACATGTTTCAAACGAATCAGAAAAACATAAAAACATCAAACATGTTTGCGAACATAAAAATCAGGATTAAAATAAACTTGACAATATAAACATTTAAAACTTGTTCCGAACATTCATGTTTCTATCATAAAAACATGTTTTTATGCATAAAAACATGTTTTGCCTAAGATTCTGGTACTTATTTTGATGTTTGGAAACATTATCAATTAGTTAAAACAATTAATTGTTAATTACCTGAATGCTAATAACTGCCTCTTGAACTCTAATAGGACACAACTCATTTAGCGAATGTATCGAACAATCCATATTTTTATTAAAAGCTTCCAATATTGAACAAGAAGTATTTAATTGTTTATTTAACTAAATTGTAGCAAAATATTAAATAAAAATAAATTTTAAATATTTACCTGAAAATTGCACTTTTTATTGTCTTTTCTAGCTAATTCATTCAAACAATCAGAATTTTCTGATAAAATGTTCACTTTTTCACACAACTAAAATTAAGTTTGTTTTATTAAAGGTTGAATTATAGAAATCAGAAAATACGAGAAAAACATGTTTACAAACATTAAATATTAAAACAAACATGAAAATAAACATTTATTTAATCAGCTTGTTTCCAAACATTTTTCAAATTCATTTAAAAACATGTTTTTATGTTTTGTTTGTTTCTGTGAGGAAAAACATTGTTTTTATTTAAAAACATATTTCTTATGTTTCCAAACATTATTTTCTAAACAATGTTTTAATCATTTACTCATTGTTTTCCCTGTGTTTTTACCTTTGTCCAGATAGGTTTTGCCAATTCATTGTTTTCAAGTGTTTTTTTATTTTTACAAAACATTTCTGCATTTGCCAGAATTGTTAAAACATCCCAAGATTTTATATTTATTTGTTGTTGTTTTGAAGAATCATTACAATTTAAATCTCCAAACCAATGTTCACTTTCTTGTCGTAATGGTGCTAACTTTAATTGAAATGTTTTACAAAATTTTATTTTTCTTTTACCATTTCAAGTGCAGATTCTGAACATTCTGAGGGAGGGTTTGCTTCAATACAACTAAAATGTGTTACAGATTGAGTAAGTAAAGCACACGGAAGGGAAATTAGAGAAGTTTCATTAAAAAATAATTTTGTAGAAGAACATTGATTTGTAGCAGATAAACATTCTGGTTGGTCTAACAAAGCGGGGGTTAATAATTCACAAAGAAAAACATGAAGACGAGCCTAAAATAAAATTAAAAATTTTATTTTAATTAAAATTAATTTTTTACCCAAGGACCTCCAACAGAATTTGATTGATTTTTGTTGTCGAGAAATTGACATCCTTTAAGCAAAAGTTGGCCAGATCTATGAAAGAAAATGGAAAACTTAAAAGAATAAACATTTAATTAATGTTTAATTGAGGTTGGAAACAAATTTACAAAAACATCCAAACATGTTTAGAAATCGGAAAAACAACATGCTAATATTAAATGTTCAGAGAAACTCTAAACTTGGAAAACATGTTTGAATTGTAAAAACATATCAAAACATGCTTATTTAAACATCTCAGAAAGAAAGTAAACTTTGTTCATCCTAATCTAAACACTCTTCTAAACAAGTTTATTTTAAAGTTTCAAGTTTTGGAATGTTTTATAGAAAAAGAGTAAAACAAGTTTGTTTCACTCTCTTTAAAACAAACAAGTTTTTACTGTTTTGATTGAGTAAAAAGTTTGGGTAATTCTGTTTCCATCTGAACAAGCCAGTCAATAAGTGTTTCTGTTTTTTCTTCTTTTTCCAACATGTTGTTTGTTTCTAATAATTTTTGTTTGTTGTTTTCATTTTCCGTGTTGTTATTATAAACATGTTTTTCATCAGCCCCATCTTCACAATCAGGTTCTCCATCATTTACCCAATCAAGAGGGATACAATTTCCATTTATTGGACAGAAAAAGGCATCTGATGAACAAACTGAGGAATTCCCCTCGCAATTAATTGGAGGTGAATAAATTAAAAAAAGAAGAAAAAATAATTTAAATTTGAGTGAATTTGTGGTGGTGGTGGGCATTTTTTGGGGAAATTTCTTCTAAAAATTTGGGAGAAAATTAAAAAAAAATTTATTTTTTAGATAAATGAACTTTGATTATTTTTTTGTTCCAATTTTAAGGCGCCTTAAATGCTAAATATATATCCATTTTTGTTAGAAGCAAAATACAAAGTTTGGACAAATAAACAAATAAGTTATTCCCCTCCTCCCTTTTTTGTTTCAAAAAGTGTTTATTAAATATTTATTTATTTCCCTTTTTACTTCAAAATTAGTCATTAAAAAAAGGAAAGCTCAATAAATTTGAAATAATTTATTTGGATTATCGAGATCAATGTTTTTGGAAACAAATTCATGTAAATATAGAGAATATCAGCAGATCCTAACAAAACTTTTTAAAAAATAAACTTGTTTTTGGAATTTTTAAAGGATAAAAACAAAATTTATTTTTTTACAAATTAACGCGCAAGGATATAAAAGTGAAAATAAATAAGAAAGAAAGCTGGTCAGAAAATTAATACTTTTAAAAATAAATGTGTGAGGATGAAAGAAAAAAAGTAGCCTTTTCTGATCCAATTGAGGCGAAAACAGCGGGGAATCGACAACAACAAAGTTTTTGGAGGGAAGAAAGGAATGGATTGCTGCCTGTGGGGGTTTTGGAAGTAGAGTTGGGCGCGGACTTTGAATTTTGTTTTTAAATTTTTAAAATTTTGACAAAAAATTTTCCAAAATTGGAGAATTTTTGTTTTGGTAGTTTTGAAGTTCTGACCGAAAAACTAACGATTTTGACGGTTTTGATGATTTTTAAATAGGTTTTTTTGTATATAACATTTGAAATAAAAAATCAAAAATTCTGAAAATTAACGAAAATGTAGTTAATACAATTAAAAATATTTACAAAAAATTTCACATCCTCAACTAATCATCCTTTAAAACATTTTCAACTGCGCGCCCAAACTGCATTTACGCCCAAACAACACTCACAACAAGGGAGATAAAAGAAAAGGCGAGTGGTTGTTCGTTGTTGTATGGTCAAAACAAAAATAAAATTTTTTTTTTAATCCACTGAGCGAATTGATGCAATAAAATAATAAATTTGTTGCTAACAATTTTGTTGTTGTTGCTGTATGGATTTTTGTTTATTTCTTCTCTTCCTCTTGTTTTTGTGAAAATGGAACAATCCGGTACCGAAAAAATCGCGAAAGGGTGGGGGAAATGAGAAGAGCCGTTATTTTAATAGTTTATTTTAAAAAAGCTAGGGCAATTTATGTGTGTGTTGTGATTGAAAAAATAAAATATATATTTGGGAGGGAATTGTTGTAGTGATTTTGTTTGGATGGTGATAGAAAAACGTAATTATTTTAGAGAAATACTCGGTATCCACGGAGAGTTTTGAGAAGAATTACAAAAAATAACGAGATAGGATTAATCAATGACTAACTGAAAAATTCTCAAAATTCTTTTGATTTAGGGAAACATTTCTAAGTTTTGAGTTTTTAGACACAAAAACACTTCTATGTTAACCATAAATTAAAGTCATAATTTTCCAACTATTAAGTCGTATTAAGTCGGAAAATCGAAAATTTTGCCAGAAAATCTTTGTAAGCCTTTTAAGGAAATTAAGCAGAATTTTACCTCCATGTGTTCTTACTCGACTAATTTATATTTAAATAAATTATACCAAACTGCGCCCAGAAATCCTTTCTATTTTAAACAGCAAAAGTAAAGAGAGAGAAGAGAGATATTGTAAAAATCCGCCTATCCAGTCTTTCACGTTTTTAGGGGGATTGTAATCTCCCCCCTATCCTCCCCTTCCTCTAAATTTCCTTCCCATTTATTTAAAATGTTGTTTAGGAAAAAAGAAAGGGGAAGAAAGAATATTAATAACCAAAATTCATCCCCTTTTTAACGATTTATAATTTATTTTAATCCAAAAATTAGAACAAAATATGGAAAAGAAAGAAATATTTATTGTTTTTACAAAAGGGAGAAGAAAATCACCGGAAAGGATGGACAGTTAATTTAACGAGAAAACGTTTAATATTAAAAACAGTACAAAAATTAGGTCATTATCAAAATATTAAAATAAATGTCAATAAATAAAAATATTTATGTGGATGTCAAGAAAAAATAAATTTAAAAAGTAAAAAGTGTAGGTTATATATTTGATAAGTGCTGAAATTCATTAGTGTAATATAGACCCATTTTAATTTTCTTCTGAGAAAAGGCTAAATATTTTCTAGTACCAAATTTTAAGAGCTTTTAAATGAGTATAAAATAAAGATTTAGTAAGTGTGTTAAAAAAATTTTTTTAATTTTTGCCACAATTTTCTGTTGTTTTTGTGAGTTTGATATTTCTGTGGTTAAATTAAATTAATAAAAAAAACAAATTAAAATATTTATTTTATTAAAACACAGTAATTTGTCTACACACTCAAAAAGTGCACTAAAACGTCAAAATAATTAAACAAGTTTTCGTTTCGAAAAATAAACTAATTGTAACTTTAAATAAATAAATGGTGGACTAATTTGTCTAAAAAATGAAGATTAATTTAATTTTTTAATTTTATTTGTTTTTTAATTATTTAAATTTTTCTAGATGGATTCATTAGATGCCAGAAAACCTTTATTAATTGTTGATGGCCCTTATTTAGCAAATTCGAATGGAAATGAGGTTTTTCTCTTTATTTTAAATTTTAAATTTCCTTTCAAGTCTACGTTAGGTAAAAAATATTAATTTCTTTTAAATTTAGAATTACTTTTTAATTATTGTTATGTGATGTTCTCTAATTTTTTATGTTTGGGGCAATGGGAGAACACTTAGTTTTTCTTTTTTTTTGCGGGGAAGGGGGTAAAAACTTTAAGAGGTTGTGGTTGTTTGGGATTTATTGTCATTGTCAGGTTTTAGGTCAGGTATTTTTTAAAGAATTTTCTCGTAATTTCTTTTTTCCTTTGTTTTTCAATTAAAATTAATTTTTCCCAAATTTAAAGTTGAGTGAAGACGAACAAACTGTAAATAGTACATATGAAAACACAGCTTTAGAATGCGATTCGAACAATTTATATGTTAAAAATTGTAAAAATTCTAGTGACAATAATTCTCTTATTTATGCAAATTATGGAGAAATTTCTCGTTTACAAGTTTTTTTAAACGTTCAAAAATTAAATTTAGCATTTAAGGAATTACAAGAAATTGATAGAAGGCCTTATCCTCCATTTCCGGATGCTTCTTCTTCTCCTTTGTTTGTTTATTTTTTTGGGGGTTTTTTTGTCTTTAAATATGTGAATTAAACAATGAAGATTGTAAAATCCAAGGATGGGCACAGAAAAAAGTGATCCCCTATTTTTAAGAAATTAGGAGGTTTTTAATTTTTATGATAAAACGAGTGAGGAAGCCTTGATGTCCTTTGTCTTAAATTATTTTTAGGCTACCCTGTTCCAGAGATGTTTCGAAAATGAAAAATTTTCAAAAATCGTGGATCGAAAATATTTCAAAAATATAGAAGGAAAAGAAACTCTCGAAAATCGAAATTTCGAAACAGCTCTGCTCTGTTCCCATCCAAACAACCACAACTTTGTTACCCCCTTCAACAGATCTACCGCTGTATTTTTTAAGATAAGGATCTTTCTCTTCTTTAAATATCTGCAAACTTTTAATTAAATTAATAAGTTTTTTAGGCGAATAATTGCAAATGGTTGGAGAGAATATCGAACTTTGGGTGGAAGGTTTTTTTAATTAATTTTTGATTTTTTTCTAAAAAAATAATAATATTCAGGTCTTACTATTACCACCCTTTGAATAAAATTTGTCAATGGAAGGTATTTAATTTTTATAAATTTTTGGGGGGATTTTTGTATTTTCAACAATTTTTTCCCAAAATTTGAAAAAAACTAAAACTTTGTAAAAATGAATAAAAATCAAAATTAACCCCAAGTTTAAATATATTGAATTGTTTGGAATGATTCATTTTTAAATGTTAAGTATTTTTGTATTTTTTAAGTGAATCATCGCCTTCAATTTAAAATTTTGAGCGATTTGTTTCTTTTTTTTGCAATATTTTTATAATTGATTTTTTGGAATTGACTCAAAAAATGAATTAAAATAAAGTTTCCACCCCCTCACCCCTTTTTTTAATTCGACATTTGCGGACAAAACTTGAACCATTAAAATTGGGACAAATGGGAATTTCAATAGCTAAACTTATAGTAAGTATCATTTTGAATGTAAGATTGGTTATGTCCGTAAACGTCGCTTTATCCCAGGGTTAATATAAATAAAATAAAATGATTCTAACAAGGAAAGGTTGCGAGTTGTTCGCCTAAAAACGGTCAAGACCGGGGTCATTCGATAGAGAATGTGCCTTTTATAGCAAGGATTTTGAGCCGTTTTTGCCGGTTTTTTGATCTGACCAAGATATGGCCCTCCAAAATCCCAAAATATGGCAAAAATTTGTTTTAAATTTTTACCTGAACTTATTGACATTTTAAAATAAATTTCCTGGATATTTTCTTTAAAATAAAATTTAATTTTCACATTTTTTAGCCTCCAAGAACAACTTTAAAATTTTACCCGCAAGAAGATATGGAGCCATTATTTGCCACTAATTTTGCTCATCAAAATCGTTACCCTTCTACTTCTGTTGAATCTGCTGATTTTGCTGAAATTCCTTTACTTTCTAATTTTAAAAATCGAATTGGTTCATTCAAAACAAATGAAATGCACAAATCTGTGTTTGTTGAATCTAATGAAAATGTTGCCGTTAATAAGGTTTTTTGAAGGGAAACTTTTTTGGTTATTTTTTGGACGGAACTTATTTTGTAACAAATTTTTTGGGGTTAATTCTAGTGCCCGTTAAGACAGTTGCGTGGTCCTGCTTTTGATTTCAGGATGGAATTCCGGCATGCGGACATCAAGGGCGTAGCCAGACGGGGGGGGGGGGGGGCTAACACTGGGTGTGCGCAAAATTTTTGGCATTTACCTTGGCGTTCTGGACGCATTTTTTGAACCATATTTTTATTTTTCAGCGCCGCAGGCGATAATTTTTTTAATTTTGGAGCTCAGAAGCCATATTTCTTCCATTTTTAGCGCCGCAGGCGAAAATTTTTAAAATTATGAAGGCCGTAGGTCACTAGTTAATGTAGAGATAAACTTAAATCAATATTTTATCAAAATTTCCATGTTATCTTCTAACAATAAACATTCAAAAAATATAAATTTTTCCAGCCAGGTGTAATGTCACACAGTTTGGATGAAGTTACGGGTCAATCAAAATTTCCTTCAGATTTAAAATCTTCAGATAATATAACCGAATGTTCTACCAATTATGACAATACAAGCCAGTGCCATAAAGATACAGAACTTCGGCATGGTTTTCTCGAAAGGTGTAAATTGGCTGAGAATGGAGTGAAATTAAAAAGGAAAGATTGGTCTAGTGCTTATGCTTATTTGTATATTGGACATTTGTTGTTTTACAAAGATCAAAAATCTGCAGAGAAACATGGAAAACATTATCCTGCTCCTTTGGGTATTTTTTTAAATTTAAATATTGAGAAATTGACTAGTAAAAGATGGGTAAGCCCAAACCGACGCTTTGAATTTGGTAAGATTAGGAAAGCTTGAAACAAGTTATGGTTTGTACCGTTATGGCCACGCGTCGTTTTAAGCGTGTCCCGGGAAAGTTAGGTAGCTTTGTTTATTGTTATGGTCTAGTCTAACACATAAATTAAGCAAAGATTTTTCTATTTATATTGGTTTTTTGCTTGCCTATTGGAAAATTTCTAGTTTAAAAATCTTTGCTTTTATGATTTTCATTTAGAAAAATCTACTTAAAAAATTTTTTTCAGATGTTTGTGATTTGAGAGATGCAATTGTCCAATTTATTACTGATGACAAAAAACAAAGAGATAAAAGAAGGAAGCACATAATTTCGGTTAAAAATATTTTTAAAATTTATTTTTTAAAAATTTTTTGTAGCTTTTACTTCCATCAAAAACAGAATATAATTTTTGTAGTAATGAAGAAGAAATAAATGATTGGTTTTATGCTTTACGTCAAGCAATAATTTCTGCGGTTTTTTTTAAATTTTTTATTTTACTCAAAAAAAATTTTTTCTTTAGCCTGCTTTAAAAATTTCTTCAAATAAAATTATCTGTGATTGGAATGGAAGTCTTCAACGTTCAATTCGCCACAAACGGGATTCTGCAAGTAGTACTTTTGGAATTGGAAAATCAACACTTCATAATTCGATAAAATCACGTTTGAAGCCTTCTTCAACCAAAAGTATTGGTAAATTTTTAATGTTTTGGTTGGATTTTTCTTGTATGTTTCCCAGTTTTGTTATTTTTTTAATTTAAAAAAATGAATTTGCAAAGAAATTTGTTGAAAACTCGGGAATTTGTTTGCAAAGAAATTTGTTAAAAACTTGGGTTCTTATTATTTTAAGATTGCTTTCGTCAAAAAAATATAAGTCAAACCTTGTAATTTATCTATTAAGCCTTCCCTTACAAATTAGTCTCTTCCTATAACTGTTATGAGACCGATAAGATATACAATTGCCATATTTTTGCTACAAATTATTGGCAACCCATCAACGGATTATATTTAATTTAAGGAAAATACTTTTTTGCCCAATTTTCTTTTTTTTAAATTTTAAGCAATTTCTGACGATCATTTTTCTTCTGTGGATAATAATGCTGTAGAAGTTGTCCCTCCTGCAAAGGCAACAATTATTGAAAGGCTTTTGCGATTTTTCCGTTCTCGGCCTTCAATGGAATCACTTAGGGAGAGAGGAATTTATAAACGTTTTTTAATAATTATTTTTTTATTTAAATTTATTTAAAATTTTAGCAGAACCAGTATTTGGAAGTACTTTAAGTGAAATTTGTTTTAGAGAAAAGTCGTTAGTCCCCAAATTTATAACTGAAGTAACTACTTTAATTGAACAAAAAGGACTTGATTGTGATGGGTTTGTTTTTTATTTAAGTTTTTTGGGAATACTTTACTTTTATTTATTTTCTATGGTTCTGGAAATAATGTTCTCTACAGTGCTGGAAAAAACTATAGCCGCACATTTGAAAACTTCATCGCTTATGAAGGAGTTACCCAAACGACATCAAATTTGGTTGAAAAATGTAAAAAATAGATAGGAAAATAATGGTATTTAAATATTCTCAAAATTTTAAAAACAAAACACAAAAATTTAAAAAATTCAAAAATACACGTAATTTTTATTGGAAAAAACTATAGCCGCACTTGTATTTTCGACCTTAGGAGTGGTCCAAAAAATCTACAAAAATTCCTGTAAACATATCTATTGATATCTATAGAAAATACAAAAGAAATGAAGTTCCTATATAATTCCTTCATTGAGATCTGAAAACCTGAAAAAACGGAAAAACGGGGGTAGACGTCTTTAAAAAATATTTTCGACCCCTTATAGGTAAGATAAGAATTTTATTTTGAGCTTATTTGAAAGTCCTTGAAATTTGCTATAAGATATTTATCATCACATAATCCAGAAAAAATTCATCTTTGAGAAATAATGAGTCTAGTTCATAAGTTACATTTTCATCAGTTTTTGGGGGGCTTTTGAGTGATTTTTATGAGCTGAAAGTTTATCACAGTATGTCTTATTGTTGAATTTTTTTCGAAAAATAAAATTAATGCTATCTTGTAGCAAATTTCAAGGGCTTTCAAATAAGCCCAAAATGAAATTTTTATCTTACCTGTAAGGGGTCGAAAATATTTTTTAAAGACGTCTACCCCCGGTTTTCCGTTGATTTTCGGGTTTTCAGATCTCAAAGAAGGAATTATATAGGAACTTCATTTCTTTTGTATTTTCTATAGATATCAATAGATATGTTTACAGGAATTTTTGTAGATTTTTTGGACCACTCCTAAGGTCGAAAATACAAGTGCGGCTATAGTTTTTTCCAATAAAAATTACGTGTATTTTTGAATTTTTTAAATTTTTGTGTTTTGTTTTTAAAATTTTGAGAATATTTAAATACCATTATTTTCCTATCTATTTTTTACATTTTTCAACCAAATTTGATGTCGTTTGGGTAACTCCTTCATAAGTTATGAAGTTTTCAAATGTGCGGCTATAGTTTTTTCCAGAACTGTATTAGTTCTCTATTAATCAATGGACTAGTTTTCGGTCGGCTTTAAACCTGACGAAGTGGTATAGTAATAATCATTCACCCCGCTCGCTGCGCTACCTCTGGGCATCCTATTCACCATCAACATCTCTCGTAATTTGGGCTGGCCCCTCTAATTAAAATTATTTTTAAATCTGTGTCATTGAGGGCGGCAAGGGGTATTATGTAATTTTTTTAAAGTGTTAGTTTGTCCAGTTCTAAAAACCTTTCTTTTTTCACCGATTTTATTTCTTTTTTCAAGTCTTTATCGAGTAAATGGCAATCTTTCTTTTGTTCAAAAAATTCGTTGTCAAATTGATCAAGGTTAATTTTGAAAATAAACTATTTAATTTAAATTTTATTTTTAGACAATTATGAACCTATGAGACGTGAGGAGGATATTCACGTTCTCAGTGGCGCTTTAAAGTTATTTCTTCGAGAGCTTCAAGAACCTATTTTTCCGGCTACAATGCATAAAGAATTTATGTCTGCTATAAGTAATTTTAATTTAGTTTTTTTATTTTAAACTTCAAAAATCGAGTAAAGTCTGACAAGGAAACCTCCCGAACTGCCAGTCAAAACTATGTACTTTTTCTGGTACCAATCGATAGAGCATCATCGATTTACTTTAGAAAATTTTCGGCTTTTTTTATAGGAATATAAAATTAAAAAGTTATGAGGTTTCAAAGTTTGCCAAAAAATAGCGGAAAAAAGGAACGCATGTTTGTACAGTATGCATTCAGGGTTGGAATTTTATTTCTTCTGATTTCTTTTCGGTTTTTGTTAATCTAAAGCTTGATATTCATTTAATTTTTTTCCTCAAAAATTATTTTATAAGATTTAATTTTTCTTAATTTTTTATTTTAAATAGGAGATTCCGGCTCAAAAAAATTTAAATGTATAGATGATTTGCTTCACAAACTTCCACAAGTTAATAAACAAACATTGCGTGTTTTAATTTTACATCTCAATAAGTAAATAGATTTTTTAAATAATTATTAAATTAATTATTTTTAATTTAAATTTTAGAGTAGCAACACATTCTGGAAAGGTAAATTAGTTTATTTTTAATTAAAAAATTTAAATGAGGGGATCTTTTTTTTGTTCCACATTCTATCCCAGATGTCCCATTTTTCATGTTTTCGTGTTTGGGACTAGGGTTGGTGTTTTCGAGTCGGGCCGACGTTCGAGTTATTTTTGTCGGGCCTGCCCGACCGAGTCTTTTTTGGGCCAAGTGCTCGACTCGATCTTTCGGGCCGGACCTGGCCCAAACCCTATCTGGGGCAGGCGTTATTTTTTCTGTTTTTTTATTTCGTTTATGTGCCTTTTTGATTTTTACTAACCTTTCTAATTTGAATTTTCGCTTAAAAATTTTTTTATTTATTTAGTCAACAACTCATTTTTTCCTTTTTAATTCAGAACAGAATGCAAATTCACAACCTTGCCATTATTTTCGGACCTTCAATGTTTTGCTCAGATGAAAGAAATTTTAAAACAACTCAGGACAAAGGAAAATCAAATAATATTGGGAAAAGAAAAACTGTGGATAAACGACAGGAAGAAGTTCAAAATCAGCCTTTAATTGTAGAGCCTACACAAAACTTAGCCTTTCGAATGTTTTTTTAAATTTAATTATTTAAATTCATATATTTTTTAATTTAAGGATTACTTATGGCCAGATTCTCGAATTTATTTTAACTGAAGCTGAGAGGTTTATATTTAATTATTTTATTTTTTGGGAGAGGGTTATTTTTTGGTTGAAATTAATTTTAAAATTTTTTAAATGAAGGGGCTTTCGAGAATCGAGATCTCGTCTCACAAGAGAAACTTACAAACTGTGAGTCAAAAAAAAATTTTAAATATTTTTTTGGTACAAATCGATAGAGCATCATCGATTTGCTTCAGAAAATTTTCGGCATTTTTGGCTAGTTTCATATTCCTAGCCAAAAACCCTTCGAAAATTTTTTAAAGCAAATCGATGATTGGTACCTATTGACTGGTACCAAAAAATACAAAATTCTGACTCACAGTTTATGAGTTTTCCTTGTCAGTCCGACCTCCAATATCCAATTATAATTTAAACAATTTATAGATTGACAATTTTCAAGAATTGAAAAATGGTTTGAATGATTCTAATTTATATTTTAGTTTAAAAAAGAATAGAAACGAAAAAAAATATTTTGTGCTTTTTCTATTAAAAATAGGTTTATATTTAAAAAATTTTAAATTGTTCCAAAAATCCTTTTGGAATATATTTTAAAAATTTAAATTTTTGAGTCCCAATTTTGTGTTTATTTATTTATTATTCCCTTTTTTCTTTTTATTATAAATTTTTTCTGCCAAAAAAAAAAGAAGAAAATATATATTTTAAAATTAATTATTCGGGTGGGGGCTAACTTAAGGAATACCAACTCAAGTAACAGACAAGTCAAGGAAAAGATAGGTCAAGGAACGACCAACTCAAGGAATGACCACAACTCATGGAATATTTTAAAATTCGGAATCTTTCAGAATTTTTTTTAAATTCTGTTTTTTGAAGTATTCTAATTTGTTTTAACTTCTGTTTTTTAAATATTCAGATTTTTCAAAAAATTCCGATGTTTAAAATATTCAATGAGTTGGTCATTCTTTGAATTGGTCGTTTCTTAACCTGTCTTTTGCTTGACTTGTCTGTTCCTTGATTTGTCTGTTCCTTGAGTTAGCCCGACACGAATTATTCCCCTCTACATATTCAGTAAAAAATTGTACTATATTTATAAATAAATTTATTTATTTTCTTTTCTCTGTACACAAATATACTTATTCGACTAAAATTATAATTTTAAAAAGTTTGTTTTCTGTAAAAACGTTTTTAAAATACGTTTAGATTTTTTTAAAGAATTTTTGTATATTTAGATAAATAATTTATAGTCTATATGGACGATTTTTTGGTTTTTGGAAAAACTATTGCTGATCCGTGGAATAGAGTTTGTTCGTTGGATAAACCAATAATTCTTTTTGTTGAATTTTGCCAAATTATTGGTCCAAGGTTTGTATTTTTCTTAAATGTTTGAAGAATTATGGATCTTACTACCCTATAACCGAGATGGGGGTCAGGGCAATAAAAGCCAAAAATTGACAATGGATTTTCGCTTACGCGCTACACGAGGTATAATTTTTATTTGAAATTGGTCACAGTTTGGAAGGCTTTCTTGTAAGCTTTTTAAGTTTTCTTTTAAAAAGTAGGATCCTGGCTTTTTAATATTCTATAGGTGTTAATACTTCCTCATTTAAACTTTTTAAAATGTTATCTACTTGTAAGTTTTCTTTTTTAGACCTTTGTTTTCTTATCCGGAAGATGCTTGTCTTAACCATTTACTCGAAGAACTTTCCCTTTGGTTAATGAGTTCTGATAATTTTCATGGAAATTTTACTTCAGCTTATAATCAACAACTCGGTGTTTATGTTTTAACTCAATATGCTACAATGTTGGATATAACTGCTAGAGCTTTACAGGTTTTTTCTTAAGCAAATTTCAACGTTTAAATAATTTTTTAATTTAGAGGCCGTTTGCTCTATCACTTGTATTGCCACAACAAAAACCAACACCCGAACAAATTTTAATTTTTAGACAAATTTCAATGGAAATCCTTTTACCTTTACTTTCATGTAATCGTTATTATATTCATTCAATGCTTACTTTTGCTTCTAAATTGGCTGATAATTGTGAAAAAACAAATTTCCAATCTTATTATTCTACATCAGGAAATGTCCAACAAATTGTTGTTTTATCTAGTAAAATTAAGGAAATTATGTTACAGGTAAATTTGTATTTGTTTTGTGTTTTAATCTTTGTTGGGATTCTGGTTTTCAGAATTCTTTCTGTTTTATTTTTTGTTGGATTTCTGCTTTGTTTTAATTATATTCTGTTATGTTTTTCTGAACTCCTAATTTGTGTTTTGTTTTGTTGATATTCTGATTTTTGTTTTTATTGTTTTGTGGAATTCTGATTTGTTTTAATTATATTCTGTTATGTGTTTTGTTTTTGTTTTGATGAAATTCTCATTTGTGTTTTTTGTTTTGTTGCAAGGTTTGATTTGTTCCGTTGATATTCTGATTTTCAGAATTCTGATTTTTGTTTTGTTTCTTCCTAATTTGTGTTTTTATTTTTTCAGAATTCTGTTTTGTATTTTTGTTCGTATACCATTCTGATTTCAATTTTTAAAATACAAAAACCTAAAATTTCTTTTTTTCAGTCAAAATCTTGGTATGATCGTTTCCTTGTAAAAATGACAGGATTCGAAGAAATAACCAATACAAATTGCACATGTGAATGTAAAGAAGAGGATTTTCGTAAATTTATTAGAATACTTTGTTGGAAACAAATGGCACAATTAGTTGATTTAATGGAGCTTGCACCTTGTGTTTGTTTGGGTTTTTTAATTAAAAAAATAAATTTTAAAGGCTGGTAAAAATTATTTTAATATTTTGAAGAATGCTTACAATCAATTTATTAATTTACAAAAATCAACAGTTGAAGGATTAATGTTTTCTGGAAATATGCCTGTTTTGAGGTGAAATCTTCTATAATTTCAAAAACAAAAAAAAATACTGTAAAACAAAAATACAAATCAGAATTTTAACAAAACAAAAAATTCTGATAAAATTAAACCTTTTATTTTTGTTTATCAGAATTATTTGTTTTGTTGAAATTCTGATTTGTATTTTTGTTTTAATAAAATCAGAATTATTTAAATCAAAAACACAAATTACCATTTTAATTAAAAAATACAAAACTTAACTTTTTTTTAATTTTTAGAAGCGTTTTTGGTGCTAATTCACAAAAAGAATTTCAAGAACAAGAAAAGTCGGAAGAGGAAGAAAATAACAACAACAATAATAATTTTATTATTTCTTCCTATTCTTTACAAAAAGACGAAAATACACTAAAATCGTTATCTTTTAGATTACTTAGGGTATTTTTAATTTTTTTTTTAGAAAATTTTAAAATTTAATTTCTTTTAGTGTGTTTATCCATTATTGACAGGGGAGAAAATTGTAATCTTAGCTTCCCAACAACGTACACCTACGGGTATGGATTTATTGGAGAAACTTAATAAATTACGTGTTGTAAAGAGGACTGAGAATGTTCAATGGACTTCAGAAATTGAAAGGTATTTTTGATTTATCAGAATTCTGATTTGTGTTTTTGATGAGATTTTGATTTTTAATTGTGTATTTTTGTTTTGTTGAGGGATTCTGATTTGTGTTTTTCTAACTAGAGAACATCGTTTACTGTCAGTGCGAATTTGATAATTTTTGGTGCCATTCGATAGAGGACCCTCGACTTACTATTGTGGAGTAATCCGTTTTCTTCTATCTATCGAATGGTACCAAAAAATTATCAAATTCGCACTGACAGTAAACGATGTTCCCTTGTAAGAATTCTGATTTTTAATTGTGTATTTTTGTTTTATTGAGGGATTTTGATTTGTGTTTTTCTAAGAATTCTGATGTATTTTCTGAAGAAAATACATTAATTTAATATTTAAATTTTTAAAGATTAGAGCAAGTAATAACAGAACATCAATTATCTGGAGTATCTTGTGATAAAGAATTGTCTTTAAATTTAAGTGATAAAAATGCTAAACATGAAATGATTATTATAGATTTAAATAACCATAGAATTAAATGTCGAGAATATAGAGGAGTTTTATTGAGACAATTAGCAGGTAATTTCGAGGTTTTATATGAGAAGAGGGGGTTTAGACGATACTTGAATACCGACATTTGCGGAGAGATTGGGGGAGTTTTACTGGGAAATTTTTAATTTAATTTCTGATCTACTATGTAAGTGTCATTTAAGGTTGGCGGATCCGGATCCGAAAAAAGGCCGGATATCCGGAAATTTCGGTTCAGATATCGGATCCGGATATCCGAAGATTGCCAACTTTAGTTCACAAATAATTATTTTCCTTTTTTTTTAATTTAAAAAAATTTTTAGGAAAAAGAGCATTCCCTTCAGATGAATCTGTTATGGATTTTGTAGTTTCAGTAATAACAGATATAAATCAATTATTAATCCTTTCAAAATATATAACACCAGAAGTTGTTGCAAAAAGTTTAGAATTAACAAAACAAGACAAAACAATTCTTTACAATCTTCTAATTGAATTTAATTTGGCAAAATATATTCGAATGAAGGCTAAAACTAAAGACATTTTAAATAAAATCCCTTATAAATTACTACCGTTTTAAAAGTTTTTTTTGGTATTTTTAAAAATCAGAATTCTGATTTGTGTATTTTTTCGGAATTACATATTTGACTAAAATAACCAATAGATATACTGATGAAATACACAAAAACACAAATCAAATTACTAAAAATCAGAATTTTTTTAAATTCTGATTTGTATTTTCAGAATTGATTAAAATAACCAATAGGTATAATACCGCTATACACAAAAATACAAATCTGATTAAAAAATTGTGAACTTGTATAATTTTAACTTTGTACATATTTAAATGTTTAATAATAACTGGAATATTTACAAAAATTAATTGACTATAATTTAAAATTAGTTAAATTTTTTTATCGTGATTTTTATTTTATTATCGATTTTCCCCTATCTTAATAATTAATTTTGTAAACACATAAATTTATTAGCCTTTTTGAATTAATTTTTAGTGTTTTTAGTAAAGCAGTTATACCTATTTTTATTCAATTTTGCTAAAAACAATTAAAAATTTTTTTCAGATTATTTACAAAAATAAAATGTTAAGACGATCGCTTTATTTTGGATTAAGATCTCGTCAAGTTTTTCGTCTTTTAGCAAACAAGAATTATTTAAATATTTTGCCTAATATTCAAAGAAGTTATGCTTCTGTTGGGGCTGCAAAGAAGTTTGAGTTTCAGGCTGAAATCGATAGTCTTTTGGATATTGTTGCGAAATCTTTGTATTCAGATCAAGAGGTTTATTTTAATTTTGATTTTGTTTATCTGTTGGAAAGGGTCCAATCTTTGAATTTTCTAGTCGAGGGTCGACTTTTTATCCAATACTAAGACTGCGTCAGTTTCAAATTTCGTTTTATTTTTTAAGGTTTTCATAAGAGAATTAATTGCTAATGCTTCTGATGCCTTGGAAAAGCGCAGATATCTTGAAATGGGCGATAAAGCCGGTCCTGTTCAAGAAATTCCCTTCGAGATACGAATTGATTGTGATGTTAAAAATCGAAAATTAGTTTTTACTGATACAGGTATTTGTGTTTATAAATATTTTAAAATCATTTTTTATTTAAAGGTATTGGAATGAGTGAAGAGGAATTGGTTGGATTATTGGGTACTATAGCAAAGTCTGGTTCAAAATCTTTCCGGTCTGAGGAGGAAAAAGCGGAATCACTTATAGGTATTTAAATAATTGAATAAAATTTATCGTTTTAACTGTTTTTATTATTTTTATTTGAATTTCTGAAGCAAATTGCAATAGTAAAGTTTATAGTTGAGTTAGTCTATTTTGCGTTATGTGATGTTTTAATGGAAATAACGGGTTGTCGGTTCTGGACCGAACCGAAGATTTTTCGGTTCGGTTTCGGATATCTGAAGAATTTCCAAGAACCGACAACCCTACTTTTATAATTTCACGCCTTTATGTATTTAGTATTCTTTTACCTAAATTAATCACTTTTAGGTCAATTTGGTGTTGGTTTCTATTCAGCATTTGTTGTCAGGTTTTCTTTTTATTTTTTTACATTTTAAACTTGTTTTAGTGACAAAGTTCGTGTAACAACCAGAAAAGTTGACGAACCAACAGGACATGTTTGGACCTGGTCTGGTGGAAAGCAATTCGAAGTTGAGGAAGATTCAACAACCCAAATCGGAACAAAAATCGAATTGTGGTTAAAGGATTCTGAAGCTGCTAAATTTGTCCAAGCAGAAAAAGTTGCTGATGTTATTAACAAGTTTTTTTTTGTTTTTGATTATTTTTTAATTTATTTTTTAATAGATATTCATATTTTATCTCTGTTCCAATCTTTTTGAATGGGGAGAGAATTAATGTTATGTCCGCCCTTTGGATGATGAAACCAAGCGAAACAACACAGGAAATGCATGATACATTATTCAAGTAGGTTTCTAGAGATTTTATACAATTCTAGGCCTACAAAATTTTGAGACGATTACCCCTCTGGCATTTTTTTAATTTTTTAAATTAAAATTTGACTCTAATGTCAGATTTTTCTATTGATTTTTTGTCTGGTTATTTGTGTCGCTTATAAATACCTACATATTTTAAATTAATATTTACGTTACTAAAATTTTATTGGATATAGGGAAAAATGATTTTTTAATTCTACCTTTTTCCGTGAATTCCACTAAAATTTTCCTAGTGGCTTGTATTATCTGCCTTAATTCAATATATTTAATAATTTTTCAGGCATTTAGTTACAACACACCATCCTCATTTAAAAGATGATCGTCCTCAATATACCTTTCAATATCAAACAGATTTTCCAATAAATATTCGAGCACTTTTTTATGGTTTTCTGTTTATTTTTTAAATTAATTTTATTTTTATTCTAAAGTTCCTTCAAAAAAAGTTTCTCAATTTGAATTTTCTGCTGATTCTCAACATGAGACAGGCATTTCTTTGTACAATCAAAGAGTTCTTATAAAACCAAATGCCAAAGAATTGTTGCCTCGTTTTTTGAGATTTTTAATTGGAGTAGTCGATTCTGAGGTTTTTTTTTAATTTCTCATCATTGTAAGGCAAAGCGAAGAAAACAAGGAGATTGATTAAAAGGAAAAGCTCGCTTCTTTACCCCCTTTGCTTTATTCTCAACCACACCCATGGACTGAAACTTTGAATTCATTTTGCAATAAAACGGATATCACTTTGCAATAGGAAGTCGGGAGTCCTCTATCGAATGGTACCAAAAAATATACCAAATTTGCTGTTACTTTGACGCTGTTCCCTTGTCAGTAGAATTTTGCCTATTTCCATTTTTAGAATTTTTTAAATAGACGTCTTTTGATTTCTTTCATTTTCAGGATATTCCTTTAAATTTGTCTAGAGAAATGCTTCAAATGGATCTAATTATTGAGTAACTAAATTTAAAAATTAATTTTATTTAAATTTTTAAAAATTTTCAGAAAAATAAGAAATATACTCAAAGACCGTTGTATTCATTTTCTTGTTGAACAACTCAAAAAGGACAGAATTAAATATACGGAATTTTATAAGGGTTATTCATTATTTCTTAAAGTAAGAATTTCTTTTTGGAATATTTCTAGTCTTTTTTAATTTTTAGGAAGGAATTTTGACTGATCAGTCAAATCAAACAAAGGTAGATTTTTTAATAATTTTTATATCCTTATTACTTCTTCGATTTTTTAAAATATTATTTTTTGGCAATACTCTAACCTATATAAATATTTTTTGTTTATATTGACGTTACTAATATTGAATTTATTTTTTAAAAAGATTCAAAATACTTCATTTAAGTCAAAAAAAATTTTTATTTCTGTGTTGATATCCTTATTGGATATGTCACCTATCCCTCCATTACCTATCCTCTATTAAAATTCTGAGAATTTAGGCAAAGCACCTTTTAATTTATAAATTAATTTTGTAGGAAGATATTGCCCAACTTTTGTTGTTTGAATCATCTAATACACGTTCTGGCACTTCAACTTCCTTATCAGAATATGTTGAGAGAATGCAAACTGATCAAAAATGTATTTATTATCTTTATGCTCCAAGGTTTTTTTTTAATTTTTTGAAGGAAAGAAAAGTTTTTTGTTTTTTAAAGTCGTCAATTGGCCGAGACTTCTCCATATTATGAAATGTTTGATAAAAGATTTGAAGTTCTTTTCCTTACTGACCCAGCAGATGAACTTGTTTTCCTTGCAATGCCTCAATTTCATATGAAACAAATTCTATCAGTCGAGCAATGGGTTAAAGATGAGGGAGTATCGAAGGATGAAAGCAAAGAAGTTACAAGAGATCCAGTTAAAAAAGGTTTGTAGTTTTTTAGGGGGGGGGGGGGTCTTTTGCTTATATCACAGATGAATATTTGTCTCCGTAATAAAATCAATGGGCCAAAATTAAATTTAGATTTTGTCTCATAAAAATTTCTTTTTTCTTCATAATTTTTTTATTAATTTTCTTTTCAGAATTTCTTACTTGGCTGAAAGATTCACTCGGTTCAGTACGTGTTAGTGATGTTAAACCAAACACAAGTCAATCAGAGCATCCTTTTATGGTTTTTTTGAATTTTTAAATTAATTCAAAGTTATTAGGTCGGGTCATAATTAGTGTCGCTTTTTTTATTTGGGTTTTTTCGATTTTTAAAATTAAGTTTTCAGAAAAATTTTTTTATTTTTATTGCAAATCATCTGTTAGACTATGCTCTAAAGGATCCCAACATTTGAGAATTTTTCGTTAGGTATTCAGGGAGTTCTGGTCGAAAATATCAAAATTCCCGAAATCATCGGGAATCAAATTTTCTCAAGTATACGTAATGATAATAGTTAGTGTGATATATCATTCGAAAGCTCTTCAAAAGCTCTAAATGTTGGCCACAATTTCGAATTTTTATTAAGAAAGGTCTAAATTTTCGAAAAAGTCGAATTTCGAATTCCGGGGTTCGGCACGATTTACAGACTTTATATTTCGGATTTATTATAAGCCCTCTATGAGATTTAAAAAACCGTTTAGATCATCCTGATCGGATGATTTTACGCTGAGTTCTAAGAAAACGTTTTTGGGGGGGATGTCGTGTCGTTTGTTTCATTTTTGAGATGTTAGTACACGCGGCATTTGATTTGCTCTCCTTAAGCGCAGCCCGCGTTTTTTGAGTCACGCGTCGGCATACGTATAGAGCAGATATCCCTCGATAATTCAGCAGTAGAAATTACCGGATTCCATCTAAGCCGGCCGAGCAGGACCGTTTTCTTAATGACAGGCTTCTCCCTCGACCATGTTTGCTTCTGAGAGTCATACGGCCCCCAACGTAAAGCCTGACCCTATTCTTGCTGTCTAGCATAGACAACGATCCCATTGACTTGATCATTAAGATTTTTTGCTTCTTGTGTCCATTTTTGGTATTTTATAATTCATGGTGCAAATGCTTGCGAATTTCACTACGAGGTAGTGAAGTTCAAAAAATCATAACTTTATGAATAACACTCATATATACTTAAATCTGGTATTAAAATGAAGAGTAGATTCAGATCTTTATGTTGGTTAATAAGAAAAAAAAATATTTGTAAAATAACACCCCTAAAAATTTAGTCGAAAAAAAGCGACACTAATTATGACCCGACCTAATATTTTAATAGATAACAATCTCTTCTGATGCTGGTGCGGCAAGACATATGCTTCGGATTGCTCAAATTAAAGAGGTTAATTTAGTTAACTTAATTTGAGAGAACCTAATAATCATTTTTCATTTCCTCTTATGATAGTTTATCGGGCTGCTTAAATTTTACCCCAAATTTTTCTGGATTGGATATCCATCAGTGATCGCACCGACAAAATTCCCGACTCCCGAAAATCGGGAATCGAAAAAATCGGGAATTCCCGAAATCGGTAATTTTGTTTTTCTGTCGGTGCGATCCCTGGTATCCATTATTTTAAAAACAAAAATTGTTTAAAATCCCATATTTCTATTTAAATTACCGTATTTATTCTAATTGAATGGCCGCCATTCTATTTTTCAATACCCCAAAAAATTGTCATTCAATTGGAGGGGCCATTCAAATGGAGGTGGCCATTCTATTTTTCATAGGTTAGAAATAGAGATTGAATGAATCGAATATCTGATCTAATATCTTCCGAATTCGAAATTTTAACGAATTTTTCCGTTAAAATTCGATATTTTGTATTTGTTTAGTGTATTTTTCTCTCAGTTCCACTACAAACTTAGAAGTTTTATGCCTGTCGGGTTAAAAAGTCAAATTTTGATTAACATCGAGGTTAAACAATAACAATTTACGATACAGTTAGGTCCTAATAGTTCGTGGTATTGAGTAATTAGGGGAAGATATAGAAGAATCAAGAGTTTTTAGAGAGATTTTGAAAATATTGATGAATTTGTAAGTTTAAATTGATATCAGGGAGATTCTAATAGACATAGTATGCCCGACATGCTCGACCCAAATCCTCAATATCCCTTCAAATCCTTCCATAATCATCTTAATCCTTCTCAAGAAATCCCTAATTATTTTCTCGCATAATTATTTTAAGCCCTCGATATACTCGGAAATCATATAATCTCTTGATATCTCTCTTAATCCTTCCAAATCTCCTTATATCCCTCTTAATCCCATTTTTTGACTCTAAACTTCCTCAAAAATATCACAATTACCATACTAATAAGGAATATTAAACTAGTTAATAAAGGGAATACAGAAATACGTATTAGCTAGTTTGAAGTTAAAAAGGGCCATTCAATTGGGGGGCCATTCAAATGGAGGTGGCCATTCAATTAGAATAAATACGGTAATTTTTTTCAAAAATTCAGATGGAACATTTAGTCTATTTAAATCCAGTACTTCATGTCAACTTCACCCACCCTCTAATTCAAGGATTACAAAAACTTTATAAAAAAGAGCCAGAATTAGCATTAAAAATATCTGAACAAGTTTATGACAATGCTTTAATTTCTGCTGGACTTTTAAAAGATTCAAGTAAAATGGTTGGAAGACTTAATAAAATTTTGGGTGATTTATTACAATTAAATACTGTTAAATCTTCAATTATTACTCCTTGAGTGAGGGAGAAAAGAAAGAACATTTTTTGTTGATTCTTTTAAATTTTGTTTTTGGAAGCTTGAATAAATTTTAATTTTTGAAAAATTGTTTTTTTTTGAGGAATGTTTTTTATCATTTTTTATTTTTATATATTAATGTGTAGATTTTTTAAAAGTTATTTTATAAAAGATGCAACCTCTTTTGCAAGCCTATCAGGAGATGCCCCCGGTAAATTTTGTGAATAGTGGATGGATGGTTTTTGTTCCTCAAAAAATTTCCTAGGCTTTAAAAGTAGTTTAGAGTTGGTTAGTTTTTTGATCCGAAGATCTATTGTATATGAGCCTTCCAACTCATTCAATCGCTGGTTTATAGGTTACTATCACACTTTCAAACATCATCCCCCTCCTTTTTTTTAAAATTTCAAATTAATTTTAAAGAGTGATATTTTCCTTAAGATTATTTTTTTCTTAAAAAAGCGGAGAATAATTATTAAATTCTTAAAGGTAACGAGGGCCTACAGCACTGCATGTGTTTTGTGTACATTAGCAGTTCAATTAGATTTTGTGACACCCTTCCACTTGTATTTTAATTGGCATTTAATTATCCACGAATTACAGGTTTTTTAATTAAATTTTTATTAAAAATTTTCTTTTAATTTTTAAAGTGGTGGCGGTTGTTTACTTCCTTTTGCTATTTTGGATCAATTGGATTTACTTTTCTCTTCAACATGATATTCACATATAGGTTAATTTTTAAAGAAAATTTTTCCTTAAAGGAAATGGAGACTTTGAATAGTTAAAAATTGAAGGGGAAAATTATATCTTATCCAAACTTCCTTTCTTTCCCCTCATGTTTGAAATGTCTATAATCACTTGTTTCAGATTTTATCGACTTATTTGTGGATCTCGCATACTTTAAAAAATTATATTCATTTTACTCGGATATAGGGAATCCCTTTTTTGTCCATTTCATGGAATAAATATTTAAAAATTTAAAGGCATTGTTCAATGTTAGAAGAAGGCTCTTTTCGTGGAAAAACTGCCGATTTCATTTTTATGTTTCTTTTTGGATGGATATTTATGGTTTGTTTTTTGTTGTTTTTTTTTAAATTATTCTTTTTTAAAGATAATTTCTGCCTGTTTCGTTCATTTGGTTTTTCTTGGTCACGCATTCACAATAATGCTTGTATATGTTTGGAGTAGAAGAAATCCTTTTGTTGGAATGAACTTTTTTGGAATTTTCTCTTTTTCTGCTCCATACTTGGTTTTTTAAATTAATTTTAAAATTAATTCCTTTCCGGATTTGGTTAATTTTGTGTTTGACACAATCCAGCAAAAATTCGGGAAATGTTTATTATATACCAATTTGTTACACAACACACCAGATCGGACGGTTACCCCCAGAACCTATTTTCCGAAGGGAGGGGATTTGTCGGCTATTTTCAACGGCTCCAAGGGGGGGCACTCCACCACGATTGGAGTGCTTTGTAATAAGCATGAAAATACAGAAAAAGACAAAATTTGTTGATTCTTCCTTTTTTTATAGCCTTGGGTTTTGCTCTTCTTTTCACTTTTACTTGGTCAAAATGCAATGGTGGATGTTTTTGGTTTGTCTTCTTTTAAAATTTATTCTCTCAAATTTTAAAGGTATTGCTTGTGGTCATCTTTACTTTTTCTTAGAAGATATATTTCCTAACCAACCCGGAGGTTTTCGAGTACTTCAAACCCCCAACATTCTCAAACGTTTATTTGATCCTCCTCCATTGGTACGTATACCTCCTGAACAAAGACCAGGTGGATTTAATTGGGGTGCTGAAGATAACCAGCCTGTAGATAATCGAAATGAATAGAGGGGAAGGTTGTAATGATTTATTTGAAAAAAAAGATTTTTTTGGGATTTTCGGGTTTTTTGTGGGGAATATTATTTATTTATATATGCCTTGTCGCAATTTTTATTTGTTTGTTGAGGTAATTTTGAAAATTTTAGAAAAAAAATTTTTTAGTGGAAATTTTTATTGGGGGCATTTGCTTAGTGATAAAACAAACAAATAAATTTTTAACTTTGGTTATAAAGAGGAATATTCTCTTTAATAACTAGAGAAAATCCTTTTAAATATTTCTTGTATTATAATTGAACTTTTAACTGTTTTTTTCTTCTTTATTTTAAAACATTTATATTTCTTTTGTTACCTAGCATAACCAAATAAATATTTTAGCAATAATATTTTGTTGTTTTTCTGACAAAGTTTATTTTATCTTTATTTGTTTTAATTTATTTGTTTTAATGTTTTTAGGGTTAAAAACATGTTTGTCTAAAACTTAAACAAACAAACATGTTTTAAACAATGTTTTGTTGAAGGAAGAACATGAACATGTTTTAATATTTAGAAAAACATGCTCTAAAATGTTTTTTTAATAAACTTGTTTTGTTTTAACAGATTTGTTAACAGATTTGTTTAACTGTTTTACTTTAAAAACAAAACATAATGGAATGGGAACAACAAGAAAATGAAGAAACTTTAATTTATGATGGCGGAAACAAAGCAAAATTGTTTGTTGTAGATTATGGAGAACATATGTTTGTGGAGGGGGAATGGCGTTTTCGTTTAGCGTTAAAGGTGTTTATACATTTTTTATTTGTCAAAAAAATTTTTTTAAAGGCAGTTCGTGATCAAATAAATAAACTTTGTTGTATGGGGGATTTAAGTGAATTATGTTCAGTTATTTTTGTAAATACAAGCAATTCGAACAATACACACAAAATTGACTGTATTTTTACTGATAAAGAATTGGGGGTAACTGATGCTGAATATGTTAAAAAACTTGATGAGATTATTAATTGTGACAATTTAAAAGAATTTCTTTTACCAAAATTGGGTGATTCTGGTATGAGTAATTGGGCAGAACTTTTCTTTTTGTGTCAAAGTATGCTTACACACTCGTATGTTTTTATTTACATGTTTTAATGTTTGTGTTAAAATAGAGAAGGGAAACTTTAAGGGAAAAACATGTTTTAAGTTTTTACAACTTGTTTTTAAGTTGCAACTTGTTTTTAATAAACTTGTTTAGTTTATTAAGTTGTTTAAAAATAAACTTGTTCTATTAAACATGTTTTATATTTCTCTAACTCTTTAAAACATGTTTGTTTTTCTTTTCAAAAACATTTGTTTGGCAAACATGTTTTAATATTTTGTTTGAAAATTTTATTCTGACAAACATGTTTTTGGCTTAAAAACATGTTTTTGGCTTAAAAACATGTTTTATTGACCAATTAATCTTTTCTATTTTTTAGTGGTAAAGTTTTGCGAAAGAAAGTAATTACAATAGTTACTACAGACAAGGAACAAATTGATGAAGAAATTCAGGTCGAGTTTTAAAAATATGTATTCCTTATTTTTTTTTTAATTTTTAGCAAAGTTGTAAAAAACGAATTTGTTTGGATATAAAATTTATTGGGACAGAAATTAAAGTTTTGTTAATTGAAAATAAAATTGAAGAAAATGAAGCTACACAATTTTGGGTAAAAGAAAATTAAATAATTCTTGCTTGGTAAATTATATAAATTTATTTTTAGAAACAATTAGATCCATCATTTTCTCGTTTTTCAAGTTTTGAAGAAATTAGTAAACAGTTAAGAGTTTTTAAATTTTTTAAAATTTCTTTTTTTAGTTTTTTCTTTTTCAAAAATTATTCATTACGTTCAACTACTTCACTACCTTTTGATCTTGGAGATGGTTTAAAATTAGCTGTTGGGTTATATCATTTAATTAAACCCCAAGGAAAACCTGCAGCAATACTAATGGATTCTGAAACAAATGAAAGGTCAGAAATGTTTTTAATAAAAACTTGTGTTAATTACAACAATAAAAATATACCAGAATTTATTGTGTTTTTGTTTTATTAAAATTCTGATTTGTTTGGTTTGTATATCAAAAAATCAGAATTTAATTTTAAATAACCAGAATACTTTGTATTTTATATCAGAATATTTTTGTATTTTCTTATTAAAATTCTTATTTCTGAAAAATTCTGATCAAAAAATCAGAATTTAATAACCAGAATATATTTTTCAGAATTTTTATTATTTTAGAGTAGAATGCAGAACTCATTATTTACCAAAAGAGGATTTAGAAGGAAATTCAACAATGGGCGGAGAAGAAGAAAATAATGGAGAAATACAGGAATATTTAAATAATGAAAATTTTGAGGGAGAAATTAATTTTTCTAAAAATGTTGGGGGTGTTAATGTTGTTTTGGATAGAGAGGAATTGGAGAAATTGAGACGTTTTGACCGGCCTGGTAAAAAAATTTTTTTGCGGAATTTTTTAAATTTGTTTAAATTAAGGGATAACAGTTATTGGATTTAAACCTTTACATTTATTAAAGCCTTCACATAGAATGAGCCCAGCAAAGTTTATTTACCCTCTTGATGATGTTTGTATTTTCTTTATTTTTTTGTATTTTTAAAAATCAGAACAAAATGTGTTTTTCCTCAAATCAGAATATTTATTAAATCAAAATTCCCCTTCTTTTCAGTTAGTTTCTGGAAGTTCTATTCTCTACAGAGTATTATTAAAGCAATGTTTGGAAAGAAATCTTTTTATACTAGTTAGATATACACAAAAACCAAATACAACACCTCAAATTTGTGCTTTAGTTCCTCAATCAATGGGAGAGGGAAATGAAGGAAATGTTTGTGTTTATTTAATAAAAATCAGAATTTATTTAAAATACAATCAGAATATTTTGTGTTTTAATTATAAAGTTGTATTTTAATAAAAATCAGAATTTCTGCTTGTATTTTTATTGAAAAATACATTCTGATTTTTGAATTCCGATTTTTGTGTTTTTAAAGAAAAATACAATCAGAATTCTGATTTTTGTATTTTTATAGCAAAAATACATTTTTTAATAATTTTCAGAATTCTCTTAGCGAACATTTATATGAAGGATTTCATTTACTCGAATTACCGTTTACTGAAGAAGCTAGAGATTTGAGAGCTTTTGATCGTTACAAACCCCCACCAATTCCAGCTAGTGTTATTTGTTCCTCTGAAAATATTAAAGAACAACAAATTTTGGCGGCAGAAGTGTTGATAAATTAACGACTCGTTTTGAGCCTGATCAATTTTTTAATCCAATGTTACAAAGACATTACAAAACTGTTGAAAGTGTTGCTTTGGATTTGGATGTCGAAAATTTTGCTGAAGAGGCAGAGAAATTGGACAAAATACGTAAGTCCTCCAAAATCGGGAATTCTCGACGTTTTTTGGGTCGGGAATCTAATTTTTGTCGGCTAGATCCCTGGTTTGTATATAACTAAACTCACGAAAAAACCGTATTTACCATTTTAATTAAAATAATTTAAAGAGCCATACTTCAAAGTAGAGGAAAATGTTAAAAGAGTAGCCGCTCAAATAGCCAAATTAAATGATTTGTGTAGTGGAAAATTAGATTTAATTAATGAAGAGGAACCTGTTAATATTAAACCTAAAAGAGGGAGAAAGAAAAAAGATGTTGAAAGTTAAATTATATTTTGTTGAAGGGAAAGAATCTAAAATACCTTTATTTATTTGAAACATTTTTTGAAATTTGACAAAAAATACAAAAGAAAATAAAGCAATTTATTTAAAGAAAATATTAAAATTAAACGAGTTCTATCTACTACTAAAATTCCCTAAATTTTACAAGAAATACATAATTATTGACCTAAGGACGTAAGTTAACCCGAATTTTTTGCAGAAATAAGTGAATAGTACATATAACAAATTAACAAGGCTGTGCAGATTCTCGTTCCCCGTCGGTTCTATTTTTCGTTCCTTCCTTTTTCCGTCTTTAAATTTTCCGTTTTTAAATTTTGCTCAGACCTTGTTAATACATAATTCCTCCTAAGGAAGTTTCAAGAAAATTTTTGGGAAATTTTTACATTTGAGAATAAATAAAAGAATTAGATAATTTAAAATAAAATATTGACCAGAGAAGAATTTATAGGAAATAAATTAAAATGATACTTTAACTGTTAGCACCTCCATTGGTTCCATATTTAATTTTCCGTTGTCATTTGAGGTATCATTTTTTGTATCTTCTAACAAAGTTAGGGTTCCTTTATTAAATGACTTTGGCGTTTGGATGAAAATATCCGATAAATTGAACTCTCCTCCCTTCAAAGTATTTACTCCACAATTGTTATCATCAAGAGAAGAATCCAAAGTACATTCAATTCCAAATCTTCTCAATACCAAAGCAGCCTCATATTTTGGAGAAGTATCTCTTATTGTGTTTCTCAATCCATAAATTGTTGACTCGCTAAGTGTTCGAAAAGCGACGGGGTGAATGTCACAAGGGAATGGATTTTTAAGGCCAGAAAATGAATTTGTAGGCAATGAAGCTTTAAAAATGAATTTTTAATTTTAGAAAAAAAATTATTAAAAATTACTTTTTTGGCTAAAAAGAATAATTGGTGGATAGAGAAGTTTGAGAGAAGCATATTCTCCTAATAAAGAGTGAAATCCAACAGTGTCATTTGAGACAGACCTCGTAGCAGTAAATCTTTCAATATTTAAGAGAAATTGGCTTTCTGCCCTAATATTGTCATCTACTGCCTGAAATTTTTTTAAAATTTTATTTTAAAACTGAGAAATTTTAAATTTAAAAATTTAAGTTAAAAACAAGGAGGAAACTAAATCGGGTTTACTTACAAATTAGGGTTGTTGGAGACCAGTTAATTTCTCCCAGTTTAGGCTCAAAAGTAGGGTTGCCGTTTTCGGTAGAGCCGACGCTAGGTGCATTTTCGAGCTTAGTTTTTTCCGATTCGGTTCGTTTTCGAGCTGAAAAGCCTCGACTCGCTCTATCTTTCGAGTTTTGGTCGAGCAAGCTTGCAACCCTAGTCAAAAGCTCTTATTTTTCTCTTTGAGCCGCCACAGGGAAAAACTAGTCGGTCGCCAACAACCCCATTACAAACTTGAAAAAACTAGAATTACAATCAAAATTTAAAATTCCCACGACTCACAAATAAAATTAATTTCAAACAAAAAAACCTGTCCAAGTCCCAAATCATCATCTTGTAATAATCTACGGTCTAACATTACTTGAATTTCGCCTATAAAATTTTTAAAATAATTTAATTAAAATATAACCCAATTCCAAACTAGCAACACCCAAAGCTTGCCTTCCATAAAGAGAAACACGAATATCATTCGAATTTTCAATAAAAGCAGATCCAGGCATTGGGTAAAAATGGGCTTGGAGAGGTAAATTATTTTGTTTTCGACGTCTTATCATCTTTTTTTGTTAAAATTATTTTTTTTAATTTAATTAAAAAAACCTGAAACCCATTCAAATCTGTATAAAAATTGTCTTGTTTAATTGAAGGAATTTTAAGTTTCATGGCTAATTCAAAATTTTTTGAACTTTTAGATGATTTAGATAACCAAGAAGATTCCATATTGACATGATTTAATAAAGTAAAGGTTTTTGAATTTTTATCCAAAATTAATTGGTGATTAATTCCGAAATCTGGGGGACCTTTAAATTAGAGATTTTTTTAGAAAATAAACATAAGAGCTAAAAAGGGGGTAAGAGAATTGAAGATATAAAATCAAAAAAAATTATTGAAGCCCTAATCCTGCACAATCTCAAAATCATTCAAAAAATATGTCAGGGATTTCAGCCAACACTTCAAGACAGGCTGTCATTTCAATAATTTTTTAATTTATTTTTTATATCGAAAAATGTACATTTTCACAAACAAAATAACCCAAATGACAAAAAAAGATTTCCCCAAATTAATTAATTCAATAATTAAATACCAACCATTTACAAAAATATATTCTCTAACAATTCCTTTAACAATTACAAATTGATTTTTATTTGATTCCAATTCAACAGCTGGGCCGTCAGGAAGGAAAAGGTAAGCTCCAGACAAAGAATCGCCTCCATCCGTTCTTGCTTTAAAATTAAAAAATAATTTTTGAAAATAATTTTAAAAAATTACCGGGATTTTTCCCTCTCGCCCCATAACGAACAAAAGAAAGAAAAATATCCAATTCTTCCCCATTATTGTCTTTAATGGACTTAAAAGATTATTTTTTGTTTAAATAAAAATTTTTAAAATTTAAAAACCTTAAGGTAACCAGTTATTGGATCGAAAAATGATTTTATGTAATTATTTGACAGATATAATTGTTGTTGATTTTCTTTAATTGAGGTTAATTCAAATAATCTAGTAAAATTTTACTTTAATTTTTTTCTGACAAAATTAATGTTAAAGTTAAAAAAGAAGTGTTTATAGTAAAAATATTAGGTAGATTGAAAAGTCGGAGATAAGGGTTTGTCTTAAATTGATCCCTCTATATACCAAGAGCATAGCCAGGGGGGCTTCTAGGGCTATAGACCACCCCCTGAAATGGGGAAAAGGAAAAAATACTGGGCAAAAGATGATCGGAAAAATGAGATTTTTCCGCTTTCAACCTTCAAATTTCAAAAATTTTGTCTATATGAGCAACAAAATCTGTGTTCAAAACGCCGAAATACCAAAATTTTGGTGCACTCCCTGAAACCCGATTCTCTGGCTACGTCCCTATTATATACTGCTAGGATGCTTATGATTGATTCCTGAACGAGTCCCAAAAAATACAACCCCCAATACAATTTAACAAAATTAAAAAAAACCTACCTCGATTCAATATTTGTTTTAAAAGTTTGTAATTTAACTTTATTTTCAACATTTTCACTTTCCAAAACATTTAAAGTAATTAATCCAAAAGGGGGTAATTCAACTTCAAAACAAAGAGAATATTTGTCTTTATAAATTGATAATTCCTTTAAATTATCCGTGTAGAAAATTGGTTCTAAAATTTAAAAAAAATGAGTAAAATACGGAAGGAAAGAAAAGGAAAAATACAAAAAAAATCAACAAAAGAAAAATGTATTTTTCAAACAAATTCTGATTTTTTTTGTGTTTTTAATTTGGACCAGAATTATTTACAAAACACAAAAAATTAGAATAAATAAAATCAGAATTTTTGAAAAAACACAAAAATTAAAAAAATGTATTTTTCGAATAAATTCTGATTTTTGTGTTTTTAATCGAAACCAGAATTATTAAAATCAGAATTAAAATGAATCAGAATTTTAGCTTAAATAATGGAATCAGAATTTACAAACTTAAAATAAATCAGAATTTCTGAAAAAGAAAACAAAGCAAAATCAGAATTTCCTCATTCATTCAAAACCCCCTTACCAATTTGTTGTAAAATTGTTTTTCCATCATTTCCAACAATTTTTAATTTAATATTATTTACATAAACACAAACAATTTCTTTTCTAAAATGTCCAAGTGAATTTGTAATAATTAATGTTGACTCTTCTTTAATAATTATTTTCTCTGCCAATTTATTTTTAAAATGTTCCAAATCAATTTTGAATTTTTGTTGTTGATTGGCTTCTTTTGGGGTAATTCCCAGAAGAAATTCTGATGACCTTGCAATTATATTTTTTGTATCAGAAAGGGCTTGTGCCATTCTTAAATTGAAAAAAAGGTTTAAAAAACTATTTAAATTTTTAGGTAAAAATATTGTTGTTGCCCTTGTTCTAAGGATGCCAGTTCCGGTTCAAAACGGTCTCAGGAACAGTGGAACTAGAGTTAAAACTGTTCATAAATGAGCATCCCTTCAGTCCAAGAAATCGACCCCGAAACTCGATTCCAAGAAATCGATTTCCAAGATTAAATTTTTACTTAAAAAACTCAGTTTTAAATTGGGATTTTTCAAAATAAACAATGGAACCGTTCAGATTCTAAAAAAATTTTAAACAAATCCCTACTTTTCTCCATAATCATCCATTACATGTGACTTAGCCGTGCCAGTTACCCCATCATGGTGTTGAAAAAGGCTAAGGGCACGTCTTGCATTGACTATACTGTTGTAGAGTGTAGAAATATTTGTTGGCACTTTTTTAGAAAAATAATTAATTATTTTATCCCTTGTTTAAATTAATTTTTTTAAATTTTTTCCCCTTTTCCTTTCTCCTTCCTTTAAAATCATCCAAAAAAGACAAACTTTTTCCCTTCCAATTAACCAAAGAAAAGAATATATCTGCAGCTCTTAAATAATGTTGTAAACTTCTATCCAAATGTTTATAAAAAGGTCTAGAAGTAAAATAACCACTCCAATAATGATCATCTCTATCAGAATAAGTAAAGAAATCTCCAGATAAAATAGGTAAAGGAGAAGGAAGCCCTCCTTCTCCTCTTTTTCCCTTTTTTCCAACATTATGTCGATATTTCCCTTGCTCTTTTTCAATCAAATTTTCTTCTTCTTTTTCATTTAATCGACGCTCTAAAACTTCAAAATAATCAGAAAGTGTCCCAAAACGAGCATTTATATTCCATTCACTTTTTGAATTTATATAATCAAAAAGTTTTTTGTAATTTGTATATTGCTCTGTCCATTCTCTTTCAATATCATATCTGAAAAAAATTGTGATAAGAAAAGTACATACTTTTTTTGGATTTAAAGCAGACTTGGAAATGGATAAGGATACCGATAATTTCAAAATGCCTGCGGATATCCGCCTGTATCCGTCGTAAATATTCGAATACAAATACCAAAGTCCATGTCCATTACCAAGTCTGATTTAAAGGATTTTATGTGTGATATTTTTTGCGGAATGAATACCAAATATCTAATTTTAGAAAATCATGCAAACCGGTAACTATAACTAAACAAATGAAAAATACCTAAATCAAGTTTAATGATTTTTTAAATAATCACTAGAATCCATCTCGAAATCCCTAAAAAATCTATGGTAGTAATAGAAGACAAAAAAGATGGATTCAAATTCAAAAATCTACTAATTTAACCTAAAATCATCTCCAAGTGGAACCAAAATTGTATTAAACCCATATAATTGTGCTTTTTTCCTGTACTGATCAGCAAGTAATTGAGCACGTTCTTCGACATTTGAGGGCGTAATTGGAGATGCATCGACGCCCCAGGGACTGAAAATTGAGATAAAAAATATAAATATTAAAGAATTACCAAGTTAAAAGACCTCTAAGTCTTCGAAAATCAAATTGACAACAAATCTGACAAAAAATTGAATAAATAATTCTTAATTGTTTAAAAATAGTTAGTACTCTAAAATGGGCCCATTGTTAGGCTAAAAAAGGGACTTCCAACAAGGACAGGATCGTGGACAGAATTTTCAAGAGTTTGCTTTTAAAAATTCAATCCTGATAACGTTAAAACAAAAAAATTCGAAAACAAGATATGGGGGTTTTAAAGAATCCTACCCCCATTAAAAAATCAAAAAAATTCTTTGAACCTTCGGATCAGGCCCACAAGAATGAGGAGCATCATATGAATAAAAAGGAAACCTTTCAAAATTAATTTAAATTTATTTAATATTCATAATTTAGTACATACATATGTGTAATAATATCTGTAGATGTTGACTTTCCAGCAAATAATTGCCTCCAAATAAATTCTAATTGTCTTTTTTGTGCCAAATATTTTTTAACAGAATAATGTACTCTTTGAATAGCCATGTGGGTAAAATTAGAACGATTTAATAAATATGCTAATGTTGGGCTTAAACCAAAAGGATCGATTGACCAATGATTGCGAGGTGTATAATCTGTTAGTAAAATTTAAAAGGGAGAATTTTGGATTCTTATGCCTTATTTAGAATTAGAAATAGTGTTTGGAAATTCAAAATTTGTTCGCAAATGTACTTCGTATACAGGGCCTTATTTTTTCTTGTACTCATATCTATATAGGTACAAGTCAGGGATCTAGCCGACATAAAAATTCAATTCCCGATTTTCGGGAATCGGGACGGCTAGATCCCTGGTACAAGTACAAATACTAACAAGAGAACATTCCGAACTGTATGTGAAAATTTCGTAAATTTTTTGCACCATCATGTAGAGATGGTCCAAAACGAATATTTATTTTTTTGGCCCTGACCACCATTTCGAAGTTATAGGGGTCCAAACTTCCAAACACTGATTATGTTGTTCTAATTCAGACCCAGTTAGGTTATTCTAACAATAAGGGTTAGGTAAATTTTATTTTTAAAAAATTATTTTAAATAGCAAAAATAACGAGTAGAGAACCAACACTTCCACAAAACAAAAATGTTATCAAAATATTTTTAATATAAAAAATCTCACCCAATTGATTTTTCAAAAATTCATGTCCTTCAAATAATTCCATAATAATCGAATAATAATGAGCATTTGCTTCATCAGTCATTACCCACCCACCCGTCACAATTTCAAATTGTCCATTAATTAAAAGTTGTTTAACTTTTTCTCGAATTTTATTTGTTTGTTTAGACCACCAAAGTTCAAAAAAACTTATTTCGGCAAAAATAAATTTTAAATCTTTATTTTGAGTTAAATGAGTGACCATAAAATTGAGAATATTTTGGACTTGATCTTCGTAATATTTTTCAAAAGTTTTTATCCAACCTTTAAAGAAAATTAAAAAAAATTTAAGGAGCTAGTAATATTTAACACTCGAAATAAAATAGCATTTGCAAGTGGTCCAGAAGTAAACCTTGATAATATTGAACCTGACAGACCCTATTTTTCCTTACCAAGTTTCTTCCTATATATCCACAAAATGGTAAGACTTTTCCTTTCTTCTATACCAATTGCCTTTCTATATCTTGCTTACAAAAAATCAAAAGGAATTAATTTTTATTTCCTCATTATGGAAGGAAAATGGGGATGGAATAAGGGAAGAAGTCTGATCATTCTGCAAATATATAGGAAGAAACTTGGGATGAAAAAATGGGCTCTGACAGGTGCAATATTAATCAAACCTTTTATATTTTGATTTTTTATGTAAAATGAGGAATCCTAAAAATATAGGACTCTTTTCTTATTTTCAAAAAGTCATTCAGAAAAAATCAGAGTAAGTGTGATTAGATGAAAGGCCAAAAATAAATAGTAAAAAAAACCTGGATCACAATGAGAGTGTGGAATAACAATAACTTCAAGTCGTTTTTCTTCTTTTATTTTTTGATGATCATAAGTAATTGGCCATCCCTGCTTCCAAACACCTCCATTTGGGTTATCGAAAGGCAGAATATCATAAACTGATAACATCTAAAATATTTGGGGAAAATTTTTTTAAAAGAATTTTTTGGCTGATTTTGTTTTGCCATAAACAAGGGCGTAGCCATAAACGCCAAAATTTTGGCCCACACCCAATGTTAGCCCCTCCCTCGAAATCAACCCCTTTGCTACATCCTTGGCCATAAACTTTAAAATAAACCTGAACATCGCTAACAGCATTGTGCGCCAATGACTGATTTTTAGCAGAACAAAATTGAAGGGAATTATTGGAAGAAGTATGTCTATTAATCTAAAAACAAAATTAAAAAAATAAAAATTTCAAACAAAAAAACCTTTTTACTATTTTCATTTAAATCCTTTCCCCCTCCATCATTATTTACATAAAAATCTTCATTTTTCTCTTCTTTATTTTTCGAATTTTCAATTTTTGATTCGATTTTATTTAATAATTTTTTATTATTTTGAGCGTCTTTATTTAAAGATTCCAAACGTTCTTCCAATTTTTGTATTGAATTATCATTCTAAAAAAATTTTTTTACAAATTAATTAAAATATAAATAGAGGTAGAATTCAATTTTTAATGAAAAATGACTTCAATTGGGGAAAATCCTTTACTAAATCCTCAATGAAAATTATGGTAAGACCTTCTTTGGGTTAACCAACGACCTTGAAAATTTCAATCCCGACACCCCTGTCAGTTTTCCTGCGACCCCCCCCCCCCTCCCAATTAATCTAAATTAAATCGGAACTAAAAAAATTCTATGGAATCCTAAATAGAAATACTCATCCTGAAAATAACAAATTACGTGACCTAGCCCAAATATAACGCTTATTTAAAATCTGGTCCCCGAATTTATGTCGCCCAGAAGTCGATAATTTTTAAAATTTTAAAGCTGAATTTATAATTAAATTAACTAACCATAACATTAGACTCTCCATAAGTAGCCTGCCGTCTTCTCTCATTAGAATCAACTTTTAGATATAACATAATACTGATAATAACAAACATTCCAAAAGCCAAAATAATTGTTGATTTTGCAGGAAAAGACATTTCTGATTTTTTAAGGCTAAAACAAAATTTAGAAAATATAAAAAAACATTAACAAATAATTTAAATTATTTTTTGAATAAAATATCGACAAATAAAAAAATGCTTTAATATTCAATTAAAAATTATTTTATTCTTTTAATAAAAAAATTGTTAAAAATTGGAAAATTAAATGTCCTATCACAGAATAAACTAGCTCAATCTAGAAGTCATCTGAATCTAGGCGAATTAAAAAAATCTAAAATCATTTGAATAATCTAAAATCAACCCTCATCGAAAAAAGGGTTGCTGTAGACTACCTTCGGCTATGCCCTTTGGACAAATAAATAATTGATAAGGGCCAGAAGTTTTCCAGCTAGTTATGGCTTTGCGCCGTTATGGCCACGCGCCTACTTGGGCGTGTCCTAATAAATAGGCCCTTTGGTAAAAAATTGTGCAGTGGTTATTTAAACTATTTTTAATTTTTACTATTTAATGTTAATATTCTGTGATTTTGTTTTTAAAAATAATTTTTGATAAAAGTATAAAATAAAAAATAAATATGACAATTTGATTTATTTATTCATTAACCTCATTATCCTTTTACATCCCCTCGAAAATAAATTTTTGATGCTAGATCAACATCATATTGCTTAATGAAATCCCCCAATTCCTTACAACATTCCAACTTTCCCTCAGACAACCATTCTTCAACAAGTTGTTTTTGGCCCTAAAAATAAAGGGAAGCGATTAAAAAATATTTAAAATGCAAACCGAAACAATTCGACATATTTCCAATGACTCCCATTTATTTAAAGAGTCTTGTTCTAATAAAATTTGTAAATATTTAAGAAGAGAATAAGTTTTTTGAAATTTTTGTAAAGTTTCTGGTGTTCTAAAAATATTTTGTGGTGCTGTTAAAGCCATTTTTGCAGCTTCAGTATAATTCCCATTTTTGACTAATAAATCAAATTTGCGGAATAAAAGTGTTTTAAGAAAATTTTGAGGAGCTTCTGCAGCCATTTTTGAAGCTTCATGGAAATTTTCAATTTCGATTAACAAATCAAATTTGTGCAAAAATTCTTCATCCAAAACGTTGTCAAGAGAAGTTTGGTTGACTACCTCCTTATCATTTTGAACCTCTCCACTGCTGCTGGAACTCAATGGGGTCTGCTCAGGAAGAACGTCACCCATTGGTTTCAAAGAAGTCTTCAAATCGTCTTCCCCAACATTTTGTTTGTTATCTAATTGCTCGTCATCTATTTTCTTTGCACATTTCTCCTCGTGTATTTTCTGCTTGCTATCAGCTTGGGTTGCATTTATTAAATCAGAACGATCGGAAATAGCTTCTGTCTAAACAAAAAACATAAATTATGAATATAAAATATAAAGATAAACGTTTTGTGGCGGTGGTGGATCAGAAGCATCAGAACCTTCGATACTCGACATAGTTGGAACCAATTCCCTCAAAGACTCCAAAGGAAGGTTTAAACGAGATGCTAATTTGAGAGCCAAGTTATGGTTTTGTAATTGTCCGGTGACGTAAGGAATGATTGTTTCTTCATCCACACAAAAAGAGAGGACCTTAAATATATATTATATTCATAATAGATTAATCAAAAACCTGCCCATCTCTATTAATTCCAATAAACCCATTATTATGTTCAGTTGTAATAAAAATTGTAGTTGGCGAAATGTTAACTTTGTATAGCAAACAGCCCGTTTCAATCTCAAACACAAAAACATATCCAGATCTGTCAATAATGTACAATATTCCATAAGTTGAAGACGCCTAAAAATCAAAGTAAAGCGAGGTTAGAAAATTTAAGAAGACAATGTCAGCGATAAATTTGTGGTAAAGTCTGTAATTAAATTCGAGGACAGTTGTAAACAGTGCTTGGATGTTCGTACTAAAATTCGTTCCAAGCACTATTGGTAAAGAGGGAGATTTTTTATGGCTAACTTTTGCACGTTTCTTTATAAAATAATAAAAAAAATTTATCTGAAGACAAATTTTAAAATTAAATAAAAAGCTACTAAAGCTTTGTCCACAGAAAATATCCAATCGCTTTTTTTAAATAACTAACAGTAAGACAAACCTGCATTGAAAGAGGAAAGTCTGAAGTAGCCTCAGCCGGATAAACGAAATCAACAGTTTTCTTTAAGTATGGCTTGTTGCCAGTAGGAGTTTGCGAGACTTCCATAATGTTCAACTAATTAAAGTTTATAAAAAATTGAAAATCCCTTCAAATAACCTTTCCTTCCCCAGCAGCATTACGTAAAGAAAAACAACAGAGACTACTTGGATTTGGATTCCCCTCCATTTTTAATTGAACAAAACAAGCAGCATGAGCCTCAATTATTTGTGAGGTATTTGTCTCTGTACTGTAAAGTTGCAGTGACCCAACATTTCGGACATCCTATTTTTAAATTAATTTTTAAAAAATATTATAAGAGGAAAAAAACTTTTGAAGGAAATCCAAAAAGAGCAAGAAACTTTCCATCAGAAGTAGCTCGATAACTGGTTATTGAACCACTCTGTAAAGTTGCATGTCGGTCAAATACTTTGGTAGGTTCAGCATAACGATCTTAAACAGGTACATATTTGACATTAAATTCAAAATAACAAACCATTTAGTGCCCAATGGTTGACAGAACTTTCTGTCACAAATCCAATGGTATTTGAGTTAATCCAGGTCCACAACACAACATGTTCTGTTGACATATAAGCTTTTATTTTAGCCTTTAATTCCAAATCGAATATTTGCATAGCCTTACCCTCTAAAAAATTAATATTAAAAGAAATACTGAAGTTATTGACATTGGTAAAATTGAATTCCGTATACCCCCTCCTTTTTCCAGCCTCAAAATATTTAAAAATGGTCAGTCTGTATCAGATTATAGAACTCGTTAAGCTGTGTCGAATGACACCAAAATCAACCCCCGGTCTTAACTTTGGGCCGAGATAGAGACAAAAACTCTGCGCAAAGAGAAGGGTTTTGCACAAAAGTCTCGCCGACTTGCGCAGGGTTTTTGTCTCTATCTCGGCCCAAAGTTAAGACAGGGGGTTGATTTTGGTGTCATTCGACACAGCTTAACGAGTTCTATAATCTGATACAGACTGACCATTTTTAAATATTTTGAGGCTGGAAAAGGAGGGGGGTATACGGAATTCAATTTTACCTTGACATTTAAGAGACAAAATCCTCGATGTTGGATGCATCATAACTGATCCGGCACTAATCGGTTTTCTAACAATATCAGTAGAGTTAGCAACATTTATAATTAAGCAATTATGTTCCTCTCTAACAACAATGTACTTGTCAGATTCCATAGTCACATTTCCAAAACAGATATTACGAGGATTGATCTTAGCCTTTTTCAACTAAAATAGAAGAAAAGCTTAGTAATTAGCAAAGAAACTTACAGAAAAGAGTTCTTGAAAACGTACAGGCATCAAAGAAGTCATTTTATTTTAAATCTAAAAAAGAAAAAAAATTTATTCAGATCAAATAAAATATTTAAAAACACTCGCAAATTGCAAGTGTATTTAAAAGGATGATTCATCTAGGGAGTATTTAAAATAGCTTAGGAAAAGGTTAAAGATTAGGGAAGACAGAAAAAGCAGTTGCCGCCTCGGTAGCTTAGTCGATAAAGCATCTTCAAATATTTAAACAAAACAATCAAAGGTTCGATTCTTATTAGCTGACTAAACTTTTATTTTTTTTAAATATTTTGGGGAAAATATTCTTAATGGGGGTAAAATAAATTTGGCTTATATGTATACAGGGAGGAGAATGCAAAGAGCAAGCCAATATACGAGAAGAAAAGCTGTTAACTATAAAAGGATTTTTGAACTAATTTAAGCATAATAGGATGATAAAATTGGGAACATGATTTCAGGGAAGTTGGTAAATTTGAACGTCAAAAAGGCTTAGGCAAAAATTAAAGCTGTTTGAAGCTCAATGACTTTAGTGAATTTAATTAAACCAAACCATTACCAAAATATTAAACCTCCATAAGTAGCCTGTTGTAATTCCCCACCAGAATCCATCCACATACAAGGCTTCTCCGAGGTGAAATTTATTTTCTTATTTAGCTGGGAAAATACTCTAAACATCCAAAAATAATCATTTAAATATCAACCAAATATTCCAACTAAAACAAAATTAAAGAAAAATTAATATGTCCAGTAAAATAAGACTAAACAGAATTTAAACAAAAATTCAAAACTTTTTATTTATAAAACAATAAAAATTGGAATTTACATAATTAAATTGAAAGAACTTTAAAATTAAAAAAACACGATGTTTAGAAAAATTAAAAAGGGCAGCGAAATATTTTCGGTCATTTCTTTTCTTGAGGAAAAAGTATTTGGTTGGGCAGGAAGGGATGGCAAATTAATTAAAATTATTTTTTTTCTTTTCTTCTTTATTAAACAGATATTTCAACTGGACATCCTTTGAAAAATAATTTTTTTCGAAAATAAAAAAAAACAATTACCGTTAATTAGTCTTGATTTGAGAACCTAGAAAATAAAAGTTAATTCGTCTATTAATGTTAGGGCACGCGGACATATCGGGATATTTCAATGTACGAACAGTTACCCTACTGATTCCTGGATAGTATATTGTTTTGTTGAGGAATAGAGTTTTTATGTTTTAGAACAAATGTAAACACGCAATAAATTGTTTTTGTCACCCCAATCCCGATATGTCCGCACACCAATGTTAGAGATAATTCCGGAAAGGAAAACTTCTAAAAATGTTTTATTTGAAGGTAGAGAAAGAATGTCTGTCAGTCTCTCATATAAATATGCAATATTTCACTCTCTAATTTCCGGAAACGTACACTCGAACACTTCCGGAAAAATGTGTATGTGTATTTATTTCAAAATTTTCCGGAAAACTTTTCAAAGTTTTAATAAACTGTCTAATTCTTACCCCATTTTCTGTTACTTCTACAGTCTCTTCTCCATCATCCTCCGTCCTTAAAACGTTTTTAGAGATTAATAATTTAATTATCATTTCTTCACCTTTTTGTTATAATCCTTTTTCCTTAAAAAAAATATTTTTTAATTCAATATTTACTAGAATCTCTATCTTATACATCTGAAATACATAAATAATTCTAGTCTCTATTTGACAACTAACATATCCTCCCGCATTGCCTTTCTTCAAAATCTCTCAAATATCCACCCCTACTCTATCAGACATCCCAATCTCCCCTACAATATTCTAATCACTCTCTTAGACATCCCACCCTCTTATAAAACCAATTAACAAAGAGATAAGACAGAGAGATTCTCTTCTAAAAGACTAACCATTAACAACACGTGTTTGTGTAATTGTCTTTTTTAGCTTTTTTCCAGGTTCTTTTGTACTTGTACTGAATCTAATAACTGTAGAAAATTCACTAAAAATATAAAAATACAAAGAAGAATTTAAATTTGATTTGTACCAATTATTTTCGTCTTTATCTGTTGTAAACGGGCCAAATAAATTTGTTGTGTGTCTTCGTCTGCCTAAAAATTAATATAAATTAAAATACTCCTTGGGTATCAAAATATTAAAGGGTGTATGTTAAATAGAAGGTTTATTTGATAATCCTAAACTGCCTCAAATCTTCGCTAGATGTGATGCTTTTTAAATATTTTCTCATTTATAGTAAGCTAGACGAAACTTTAAACAAGAGGAACAGAAAAAGTCGCTTATAAAGAGGGGTCCATTATATAGAGGGGTCTATTGTATAGAAGTATTTTTAAAAAAACTCTCCATAGAGGAAATATTCGCTCATAAAGGGATTTGTTGTGCAGATGCGGAATTATAGAAAGTCTGTTATATAGAAGTTTTCTGTGGTTGACCAGAAATATTTTTTAGGAGATCCCATTTTACACTCATAATTTTTATCAAAAAATGTCTCATTCCTCACTTCTCATTCCTGCACCACTTTCCCGTCCAAAGCCAAAAAGAGGTGAATGAAAAGGATCAGCAAAAGGATCCCCAAAAAATTCGCGAAAAATATCAAAAGGGGAACGAAACATTCCACTAGGGAAGAAATGATGATGAGCATCTGCTGGCGTTGTTCGTCTTCTTTGATAATTATTGTGTTGGTTATTTGTTGTTGGTTTAGTTAATCCGTGTTTGTCATATTCTGCTCGACGCTTTCCTTTTAATATTTAAATATTCTGATTTTTATTTCCAGAATTTTGACTTTTTTAACAGAATTCTGATTTTAAATTCTGATTTTTATTTATTTGTTTTTTTTTCTTAAATATTCAAATATTACCATCAGAAAGCACTTCATAAGCTTGTGCAATTCTTTTAAAATTTCTTTCAGCTCGTTCTTTCTTATCTGGATTTTTGTCTGGGTGCCATTTAAGTGCAAGGCGTCGATAACTAAAATTTTTAGAAAAATCAGAATTCTGATTATTTTCTGATTTCTGATTTGTAAAATTCTGATTATTATAATTTTTCGACAGTCAGAATTCTGACTATAATTCTGATTTTTTGAATCTAAATTCTGATTTAATTTTATCAGAATATTTATTTTAAAATTCTGATTTTTTTAAATTTTATTTCTGATTCTTCTTTATTTTCTGATTTTTAAAATTCTGATTATTATAATTTTTCGACAGTCAGAATTCTGACTATAATTCTGATTTTCTGAATCTAAATTCTGATTTAATTTTATCAGAATATTTATTTTAAAATTCTGATTTTTTAAATTTTTATTTCTGATTTTTAATTATTCCCTTCCTTCACACAAAACCTACGCCTTTTTAATTTCTGCCTCTTCCGCGTCCCTCTTCACCCCCAGCACACTATAAAGACAATCAGAAATTATTTTTTCTGGCCCATTAGTATCGGCATTATTACTATTGTTGTTTTTACCTTCATCATTAAATTTATTATTTTTAGATGAATTATTTTTGTTGCTCATTTAATAATAGAAGTGGTTAATAAAATAGAGGAAGGGAAGAGGAGAGGAGGAAAATTTATAAAAAAAATTATTTTTGGGGGGTGCCTTTAATAAAAAAATTTTTTTTTTCAAAAAAAATATTATTTTTAAAGAAGTAAAGGGAAATTGTGTAAAAATGTTTAGGTAATATATTTATTTATATATTGGACCTCAGCTGTCTATAAATGAAAGCGATGACAATTGAACAAAAATTGGTTTGAGGAAAAAAAGAAAATTTATTTTAGCAGTAAAGCATTAGGAAATAGTAATAGTGGGTAATTTACTGTCCATTTTACAACCTCTGACTGGCCGAAAAGGGGAGAGGAGAGAGAAGGGGAATGGTCATTTGGTCAGAATAGACCAAAGGAAGGGGGACTGAAGAAAAGGAAAATTCTGATTTTTTGGTTAAATAAAATTCTGATTTTTGACTAAAATTTTGACAGATAAAAAAAACATTTTGGGGTTTCTTTAATAAAAAAAATTTTTTTTTCAAAAAAATATTTTTAAAGAAGAGAAGCGCACTTTGACCATTTTGTCTAACACTGATAGTTGGCCATTGGTCTCACACCTTTCTTTATTATTTATTTTTCATTCTCCCTCAAACCAGCCTTGGTCATTTATTTTCTTTTCTCCGTTTTATGGCCACTTGGCAAAAAGGGAAAAGGAAGAAAAAGGGGGGGGGGGGGGGGGGGTAAATAAATAAAAGGGAGAGAGGGAAAGTTCCCCGCCCAAATTTTCTTTTAAAAAGATTTTTTACACAAAATCAATTTTTATGTATATTTATTAGCTTTTTCAAAGAAAGGTATAATAAATAAATAAAAATAGTTTTTTGGTTAAATTTAGTAAAGTCTTCCCCCCCCCCCCCCCCTCCCCCTTTCCCCCAAAAATAAATGACTAATAAATTGGAGTGGCCTTGACGCTGAATGAACGAGCAAAGATTTGTAAAATTGTGGAGGAATGGAAGGGGAGATAGTTTCTATGCAAAAATAATTTTTTTTTTCAATTTTTGCTGTTTAAAAGTTAAAAAAACTGTTTGACAAATAAGTTGCGAACAAGAAAAAATTTTAATTTAATTAAAAAAGAGTATCATTCAGTAACAGGAATTTATATGAATTTTAAAGTTTAATGGAAGTTTATAAACTATTTTTAGTTTAGTAAAAAATGAACTTAAAAATAAACATGAAAAAAATTAAAATAAAAGGACTAAGGGGGGGGAGGGGGGGTAGGGCAAGCTTTTAGGTTCAACCGCAAAATTTCGCAGTCATTCTTTAAAGATTGTTAAAAATGTTCAAAACTTCAGCTATGATTTTTGTAAATTATTTGTGAAATTAGATTTTTCAAACAATTTTTTGAACCATAATTTTTGAAATTTTGAAACAAAAATTTTTAAAAATGTGTGACTTTAAGGAACATAAATTATTCAATCACAAATATAAATTAATATTTTTAGTCAATTTATTAGTTAACGCCCAAAAGTTACCGCGCCAAAACACCAAAAATAAATAAAAATTAAAGTAAAGCACAAAATTAGTCTTAAGACAAATTCCAAAAATAGAATTAAAAAGAAAAAGAATCTGGCCAAAAAACAATTTAGAAAAAAATAAAATTTTAGTAGACACTACCACTAATTTATTTCCTTTTTCAGTGCTTCTGAGAAAATTAAAAATAAAATGCTAAATAGTAGTTGTCAGTTACAATCATTACAATTCTTCCATCTTTTTCCCTTTCTTTTATTTAAAGCCGCCCTTTTATTTATTTCCTCCTTTTTACCTTTCAAATTTTCTACACACATTTCCTGTCTTTTCAAAAATACTCGTAATAAGCGGTTGTTTTGTTTGTGTATATTATCTGTTTTTAATAAAGAAATGTTGTTGTTAAATAAATAAATATAGAGGGTAGACCACCTCTAAACATTTTTAACTCATTGCAAATGCAAACAAAAGTAATATAACCCAACATCCAAAAGATAGAGACACAGAAAATCAACTTGTTCAAAACAACAAAAACATGTTTATTTAAACAAGTTTAAAAAAGTTTTTAAAACAAACATGTTTATTAAAGCATTAAAACAAGTTTATTAAAACATGCTATAAAAAGGTTGTTTAGAATAAAATTTTATAAACAAGCTCAAAACAAGTTTGAACATGTTTTTGAGTGTTAAAACATTTAAAAGTAAAGTTGATAATGTTTGTGAACAAGTTTTAAATGTTTAATGTTTTTTAAGCATTTTGATTAGTTGTGAATAAATGGACAGTGAAAATTTCGCATCGAGAAGAACGGGTAGGAAAAAAATAAAAAGTGCAACTCAATTCAAATTTATGAGGATTAGTGAATAATAAAATATATGTAAAACATAGTAGAACTTTTAAAAATACAAAGTTGGGCGATAAAATTTGTGAAAATAAAAGAGAGAATTAAAAAAAATAAATAATTATTATTTTCTAGTCAAGCCTCATTAAATCAACCCTTTTTTACCTTAAAGTTGAACATATTTTTGTGTGTAATTTTACTTTAAAATTGATCTCAATTAATGTCTGACTATAAATAAAGTTTTAGATTATTTATAAACTTGAACATGTTTTGAAAAAAAATAAAACAAGTTTTAATAAAATGTTTGAAAAAAAGTTTTATAAAAACATTGTTTGGGAAACGCAAAGTTTTAATAAACTTGTTGAGAAGAAAATATGAAATGTTTTAAATATTGCGTTTTTAAAAAGTTTTTATGGCGCACACCATACAATTGATTGTCTGCAATTTGGTTAAAACAAGTTGGAATTAAAGAAGAGTAAAAATAAATAAAATAAAATATATTTAATAGACTGGCAGTAAAAGGTGAACAGAAAACGAGAAAAAGTTTTTTTAGTTAGAAAGGGCCAAAGGAGAAAAAAATAAATAAAATAAAAATATAGCAGACTTGCATATCTCCATGTATTTTACTAGTGTTACTTATAATCTCGTCATTTCTCTTGGGAATCAACAAACAAAAAAACAAAATTCGGGTCGAGGAAATATTAAAGAATTGATATATATCAGTTGTTTTAGTATTTTTATTTTATTTCTTCTACATATGGAAGAAAAAATTCAAAAAAAATACTTAAAATCTCTGCAAAATCATTCAAAAAATTACTTAAAAATAATAAAAAAAATTTTCTTCCATCAAAATAAAAATATTCTCAAATCAAAACAAAAGGTGTTTTCATAGTTTTATCTTCAAAGTTTAAAAACAACGAAGGGCGGCATTGCGTTTGACTGAAAAGAAGCAAAAAATACATCAAAAAATACCCCTATCTTCGAAGAGGCAATTTCTTGGCCTT